ATGTTGTAAAATGTTTGCTTTTTTCAAAGCCATTTTCAAATTCTTCATCTCCCAAAAACGAATATTCGTTAAAACCCAAACAATAGCTTGCACAATTTTCATTCACCGGGATTTTTTATCAGGAGCACTTTCATTGGCCTAGTGGCTTCTTCGATGGAACGGCGGGCTCCCTGTTGTAATTCTCAACAATTCATGAGTGGCTGAATGTGTGACACGTGATAAAGTCTCATTCAAGTAAGAAAACCAAACTTGGGGATAACTTTATTCCTTCTTTACTCTGAATTTGAAAACAAATGGCTCAACGAAAGTCTGATTTGATACTGACGAATGATAAAGGTAGAAGGAAAGAAGGCAGATAATAATTCCCGGTTTTTCTACATTGTGCGCGATGGCCTAAGTTTTTCACCAAGAAAAGTAGCCTGTAGTAATGTTGCTCGTGCAGAAAGAGAGAAAAGCCGATAAGACTGTCTTTACACAAGCATGTAGATTTTACAGCAAAGAATGTGCTTGTAGTACGTTTATTTTATTAGGAAGTACAAAAAAGCTGAGGAAACAATTTTTACTGAAATCGTTCCATAAGGGGCGACGTGACTCTAATAAGGGTGTTATGGAATTTGAGTTAGTGGTGTTTTGGATTCGAATATGAAAGTAAACGAAGTGTCTTCTATAAGAATTGGCCTACGGAATTAAGAGAATATAACAACCACTAACTAGGGTGGCAATTGCGCCTCCAGCCCAAGTGATTTTCCATTGTTTTAAACAATAGGCTATCGTCCTCCTCTTTTTATAAAAAAAGGGTTGCCCCCGCAGCTAATTTCCCTTAGAATAGGCTATGCGTCTGATGCTCTTCAAAGTGTCAAACGTCAGAATAACGATCAAAAATGTTATAAAATCGGTCGTTAAGTTTTCATTTTATTAAAGTTTGAATAAATATATGAGTCATTGTTTAAAAAGATTCCAGGGTGCTGTTACCAGTATCCCATTTCCACGGACCTTTAATCAAGGTAATTCTAATGTTGATTGACGTATGAAACACAACAACAACGCATGTAGAAGGCAGTCATTGTATTTTGAGTAAACTTTGCAAAATAGTGGCACCTGACGGAAAATAAACAAAGGAAATTTGCTCACGGAAGCATTTATGGAACTGATAGGAAAACAATTCCTGATAGCAAAAAACTCTAAAAAAGTTTTGAAAATGCGAACATTTGGAGACATATTTTAAAGAAAATTCGTCTAACACTTTTTCAAAGTAAAAAACGCCCGAATTCGGATCCAAGTTAGAAATTATACACTATACCCAGCCTTAGATCAAAATAGGACACTTGAAACTCGAGCAGTAGACAGTCGGTAAGGTGGCTGCATGCTTCAGAAAATTTGATAGAAGCTTTAAAAACTAAGAAAATCTGCAAGAGGGGGTTGGAGATAACTAAAACCAAAAAAACTGCTCTCTGTTTGTTACTTTGACATTCGATTTTTGTTATGGTTTTCAAACATCTTTAAACGACAATTGCCAAAAGTTATCATACATGCCAAGGCCAATTAACAAAAGTTTACTAAATTTCATACGAATTATTCTCATTCATCGTTATGTTTTAAAGTAAAAAGGAGCTAAATCAGCGCTTTTCTCTAACCTTACGAAATAAAATAATTTAATGAATTGGTATGCTACCCTGCAAAAAATTTGCTGCGACAATATTGCCCAAATCTGGAAAACCGTAATATAGGTTTGGGGCAAAGCTTCAGCAAAGAATTCAATGTGCTTGAAAATCGCCTATTATTCTCTAGCTAAAACTTGGACCGTATCTGGACTAAAAGTTCTCTGTTTTGACTGAAAAATCATATTTGTTCTAGAAAATTTTGTCAGGGCAAAACTGCAACCTGAGGAAAGCTTTGAAGAAAATATCAATTGATATAGGCAAAATCAGGGTAAAGTTATCAGGGTAAATTAGCATATTATAGTTTCTTTCTGGAAGTTTTGATATTTTCATCTGGCTTGTCTGAGATGCTTTTTGAGAAATCAAATAAAAGACATTAAAAATGACTTGCTAGTGACAATCAACATATTTCTTTTGACTTGCCAAATTCTAAAAAAATTGCATGGAGTAAAACAGGCACTTAGATGCACCAAACAACAGTGGTGTTAAAAGAACTTAATAGTCTGAAATACCTGAAGACTGCAGGAATCCTGATGCTGCTAGCGTTTCAGCAAGAATTGATCATTTGCTTTTTTCTGAAAGACGGCACCTGCTCCGTTGGAAGATACCAAATGCAGGTGAAATTTGACACGATTTTCAGAATATACACGTTAGGAAAAAACTACTGTTTGTAGCGTTCAAGAATTCGTTTTATGGCGTGTTTTCATTGTTGAAATTTTCATGGCCTTTAAGGGTTTAAGTGAAAAGGAAATATTCATAAAATGGACCTGAAAATTTCTTTTTGAAATGACTTTTGGCTTTTGACATGTTATTGCTTATTACCTAGAGCAAGACATTCAAAGTATAAAATACTTAATGACTCATGTGCATTTTTATAGTATTCAACAATTTTAAAAGCTATTTTATTTTGCTCGTTTATAATCTTTCCTTCATTTTGTCTTTTTCGTCATCTTTTAAAATCTTGCAAATAAACCATGCAAAGCAATGAAAGCGAGGCTACAACTCTTTCCTGGTGCTGAAATTATTCAAATTCAGCAAGATGACGTCATTCCTTTAAAGTCACGTAAAAATTATTTTTGATTGTAGCGAGGATCTTTTTTGAAGGTTTTCAAAATCTCAATGCGGTAGCATGGTTAGTTTGTCAATGCTGAAGAAATAACAAAATATACTTATACAGCTATTAAAATCTTACTTTGCTGGTTTGTTATCTTAATTATCCTCAGTGGCTAAGCTAGCGGTACATGAAATGTTCACAGCTAAACATATTTATTATAACGATGAAAACATTACATTATTGAATAGAATAAAACTGCCGTTTCCACCTTGGTCCCTAGTTGTCAGTCATGCTCATTCTGGAAAGCATGACCTGCTATAGGGTTTCTTAACGCGAAAAGACAAACCGTTCCTGCCTGCTAATCACCTGGGCTTCCAGTCGGTATCCTTGTGGTAAGTCGTGGTTGTCTGGAGTAGCATGACCTCGTCATAATAATCATAAACTTAGCACTGATTTGATTGGCCGAATTCTATCTTGGACATGCTATTTTGGCCCGTTTTGAATCCAAAATACTAAAACGTGTGCTACTTCCTTTTCCAAGCGCCTAAAAGGGTTGTCTCTATACAGAGCATGATTATTGAATCAAGCCCAGTTTCGCCACTGTTTATCGATTATCATATTGGAAAAGTCCAGCAAATCTACCCCCGTAATGGGTGTCGCGTCAATTCATCACCATCCACAACAAATCATGTCATTTTTCTTTTACTTTCTGTGTAGACGATTCTTGTATTGATACTTGAAAGGAAAACGTCTCTTCAAAAACCCCTTGAAAATATTTTCCGGATACATGGCAAACAGAGCCTTTTCAATTTATTGCTGAAATAGCAAAAGTGGGTAGGTGTGAAAGAAAAATTTTCGGTCACTGAAACAGTCTTTCTTGTTGGTTTAGTAGGCCAATTTGAATTTAATTGAAGTCAGTGCTGCTTGCTAATTTTCTTGGTTAATTTCAGTTATCGCTTAATCTTAAATATTTATCTCTATGTTTCTCTCAAGCTACAATCCTGGACAAAATTGTTGAGACGGAGTGAAATTTTTGCCAAGTTCTACTTCACGTTGCCCATTGAAATTCTAATGCACTCTTTTCTCCGAATCAATAGTGGATTAGTAGTCCTGTTATTTGGGCTTTAAAGGCATGCACTCAACATTGAATCGGGGGAGAGGGGAAAGTTATTTTTGAAAGGAAAGTAAAAAACATCAACTTTTCTTGAAAAGTCAAAATCTATTTATGTTCGGGATGCAGTTGTAATTTCTCTCGATCTTTAAAAAATATATTTCCTTATTTTACAAGGATGGGCTAATTTTTACCTCGAAGCCAGAATTTGTGACAACAGTGTGTCGAACCAGACAAATATACTTTGTGACACTTGAAATTGAGATACATACTTTGTAGTTAAATTAAGTCTGTGTCTGTCCTTAAAAAATCAAGTGCTTGTTTAAACAAAGTTAAACGTGCTGAAATCTATACATGCTCCAAAATTCCATACTGGAAAAAAGGATCTAAAAAATGAACGCCATTCACTTGTTCAAAATATCTTAAAATGTGCCATGCTTTCCTTTTATTTATAATTGTGAACCCACCAGTTAATATTGCTTCGCACTAGACTTGAAGGCCTACGGGCCTTCGAGAAACACGTACTAGTTTCGAAAAATATCGGAAATGGATGGTACCTGATGATGATAGTATAACAGGGTCGTCGGAACCCCATCGTCTATTAGAAGGTTGGCTACCATGACCCTCCAACTATCCCTATCCCCAGAATATCGTTTAGTTCTCCCAATGCTCTCACACCCGCTCCATTCCTTGACATTGTCTCCCCATGTTCTCCTTTGTCTTCCCCTGTCTTTTTTCCGTCAATCATACCTTCCAAAAACAAGCCTTGCAAATAACCCAGATGATCCCCTCATAATGTGGTCAGCAAATCTCATTTTTTTATTTTATCATTTCGTTGACTAAAATTCTCTGATGTCCAATTGTTTCTAACACTTTTTTGTTGGTTACTTTTTCAGTCCAGCTTATTTTCAAACTCTCCTGTAGCTCCACATTTCAAAAGCAAAAGTTTTTCTTTATACTATAGTGAATGAAAAAATTATTTCAAACCACAAAAATCTGACAATAAGACAAAAAACTAGAAAATTATGTAGATTTCGAATGTCCCGGTTATTCAGAAGTTTGAGAAATGAAATCGAAACTTTGGTTGAAAAACTCATGTAGAAAGACAGGAAATCATCATTACGAAACATACTAAGCCTCGTGATGATAAAGAGGCACGTTCTAGAAAGTTCGACTTTTTCGTTGTTGTGGTTCTCTTTCTGCTCACCATACATGGCGGTTGGCTGGCCGACGAAAAGAGGCATTTCGATATGAAGGTCGTAGATACAGCTGTGAGCATGGATTGTAACAGCACTGACAGTACTGTTCATATGGAAGTCGACAATTACGACAAAGAGTGAGTTGTGAATCTGTTAGGACAGTAACGCTAAATTTATCTCTCTTCAACTGTAGTAAACAATGCAAAACGTTATTGCTACTTCAGATTATGAGGTATCTGTTTTGAAAAGATACAATAACGAAACATGTTAATTGTATCACCCAATGCCTCTGTTCTGCTGCGTTGCTTATTTCATGTCTACTTTCCGCACTGTTATTATTCACTTTATTTTAACTGTGTTGCGAAACCCATATTTAATATTTCCTTTTATTTCCTGGATGTGGTTGTGGCCCGCATGGGGGTTGAAATCAATTCCTGGCACTCTTCTGTTCATTTAGTTTTGATATCCCAACATGCAAATATTAATAAGAAATAACAGAAGATTCTACAAAATAAGAAAAATGGAGGATAAAATAAGCAAAGTTATATAAAAAATTGTAAAAAACAAAGGAGATTTGCATGCTGGAATTTCTTAAAATCTTTTGAACAGTGCTTCAAAGTAGATAAAGATTATCATAAAGTAGTAACAAATTAAGTTAATGTTGTATGATATTATGAAACATGAAAATTGTTGAACATTTTGAATTTGAGTATTTGTTTTAGACCTTGTGCTTTAGATATTTTGTATAGAAGGATTTGGGGTGACTTTATTCAAGTCTACAAATATACACATAACAATTATGACACTGGAAACCTGTTTCATATTGAGAAAGAAAGTAGAACTCGTGGCCACAACTTAAGAATTGTTAAAGAGCACTGCAGAAAAGATGTAAGGGAGAGGGTTTTCAGCCTGAAAATTCATTCAAAAATAATTTGGACAATTTATTTGGAGAGAAGAAATACTCTGTTTGTAAAGAAGACATAGTTTAGATTAAGACAACAACATTATCTTTTTGAGAAAATACAATGAGTATGGAGTGGCTTTTCCCAGGACAGACTATCTTTCTGACATCAATTAGCTATCAGTTGGGTGTTACACTTATTATTATTTAGAGTTTGGCTTGACATGAGTGGTCTGTCAGTATAATGGTCTGTCCAGAGTGAAGTCAAACTCCAAAGATCTGTGAAAGGCTCTTAGCCTTAAGCACAGTTATAGTTATAGTTGTGCAACTCAAGAAGAAGCTTTTGGATTAATGCCCTTTTTCTTAAGTAACCTCTGAAAAAGTGACAGTTTTTCAGCAACATTATGCCCCAACTCACCTGTTGCCTTCCAGCTTTAAAATGCTTGATAACAAATTTAAAAAACTGTAAAAAGCTACATCTTGTGTTGTATGATAACAATGGCATATGCTAGATTTAACGAAACAATTATCAAGCAGACGCTTTGAAATATTGTTAAATTATGACTCTGCATATTTGGATATTCCATTTTTTTCCTATGAGTCTTGAAAGTGATTGCTCTCTACTATAATTAACTGGATTTTAACCTAGGAATCAATTATATAATATAATGAGCAAGAAGATTTTAAGAAGACAACTTTTATTGAAGTCAATCCCATTAAGTGAAAATAAAGCAGAGCACTGCAAATTTGTACACACGACCAGCTTTGCACCCTAAAATGTTAAGACCTACATCAAATTTTCAATTCTTTTGAAGTAAAATATGGTTGCTGAAAATAAAAATTCATTCTCCTTAAGGCCACCCTGCTGGTTACAATAAAGTTTAGAGCTAGGATGCAACTGTTGTATAATGAAAGTCTGTTTACAGATGCAATTTTGATATTAATAAAGGTTAGCATAATACAAATTTAGATAAACTAACCCAGTGTACTTTTTAGAAGATGGGGATAGGAGCAGCCCCTTTAAAGATAATAGCAATTTTTTCCAACGGTATTTGTGTGGAAAGTTATGTGTATCATAGTCATTCTCTTTCTGCATTAACTAAAATTCCTCCAAGACTGTAGGATTTCTTTAATTCATAGATATTGTCGTTTGTATAGCTGAAGATAGTAGGATAGTGTTATGATGTGTTATTTGACATCTAGGTTGACGGAATATTCTCAAAATATATGAGTTAATTCTCAGATCATGTAAAAAATGATCACTCTTCTTTTGGGACTTTTTTCTGAGTTACAAACTACAATCAATGATCATAGAATCATAGATCATTAATCAATAGAATCATATACCTGTAAACAAAATTGTTAAAGGTGTGAAAGTACCTGAACATAATACCACAATATATGACTGAAGTGTCAGACCCAGAAAGTTGTTAATCTGTGATGAAATCAATAAAACAAACAATTGTGAAATTCAAAGACTTTCCAGAAGGCATGATTTAATAAGGCAGTCTCTTTTTCATCCTTCCTTTAACATCCTTCTCACCTTGTACTTACCAAAAAAAGAATTACTTTAGCCTGTCAGGTTCATGATGTATGCCTTTGAGAAAATTGACGAAATTTATTTGTTCACATTATGCAAAAAATTGTGTTTACTTGTTTTATCCTCAGAAGAATGTAGATTTGATTTACCAAACAAATGTATAAAACAAGGTTGCTAGATTTATGATTGCTTTTAAGGAAACTTGCTGCTTTGAAAAAGGAAGAGGGAAACAAGCTATATTCATCAAAAGATTATACTGGTGCAATTAAGCTATACTCAGAAGCTATTGGTAATTACAATATTACAGGATTTTATCACAGTATTCTACACAAGTTTTATGTTTTAAAGGTTTTAATTTTCCAAAACGGTCTAATAATAATGATGTATTAATGATCAAGATGATATTTTTAATGATTGATCAAGTATATTTGATCCCATTCGATATGCTGCAAATTGCTGTCAGGTTTGTCTTCTTGCTTTGTAAATCTACCTTCCATTTTTGAACATATCCTCAATTTGAAGACAGCAGCATGCATCCTAAATTATCATATTTAAATCCTGTTACTTTGGCCTAGTAAGCCAGAGTCGGTGTGAATTAATCTCTACATTATTTTTTGTTTTTCTTTAAGCAAATTTCAATAACAAATATCTTTATACTGACTTGATTTTATGCATTTTCCTTTGATATTCAGTCCACTTGTAAGTTTGTTATAAGTTCTAGGTTATTTTGCTTTGATCTAGCTTTCATAACTACGGGTCAAGTGATTCACAGCAAACAGAAAAAACAAAGTCTGACTAGTATGCTTAGAATTGTTTTTATCTTTTTTAGACCTTCAACCAACCAACTTTGCCTACTATGGAAACCGGTGTGCCTGTTATATTATGACTAAGGACTACCAAAGCGCTCTGAATGATGCCAGGAAATCAACTGCTTATAATAGTAACTTCACCAAGGGATACCTCAGAGAAGCAAAATGTCATATGACTTTGGGATCTGCATCTTTTGCCAAAAGATGTCTTCTCAAGGCCCTGGAAATCGACCCTAGCAACCCACAGGCAAAAACAGATGTAAGTTTAACTTTCAAGCGAATGAAGATTTATGTTATGATCAGTCAATTGCATAGTGATCAATGCTTTATTAACAGCAATCTGTTATGGGTTTATGTAGGAGGTTTCTTAGTTGTAACTGTATAAGAGTTTCATGCTTAACGTCATAATCAGGCAACTGTATCCTGATGAAGAATTTGGCAAGGTAACTGAAAACTACCCTTTTCTAAACTTCAAAGGGTGTAGATTTTGAACTGATAAAATCACAGTTTACCCCTCTGTCATATAGTGCTTCATGCTTTATAGACAAGGCTTTACATATTTTTGTGTGTATAAAATAGGATGGTTTCAACTCAAGGTTTCATTAGTTCAAATCTGGTGCATGACATAAATTACCTGTTCAAATGTCAGTTTGTAAGACAGCTTATTAAAGACAGTGTTTTTAAGAACTTTTTTGAGATTCTTGGGTTGTCTTGGCAGAGGTGTATTGTATCAAAAAGGGATTGTGCCATAATTTGCTATCTTTAGAGGGCTTATTTAAGAGCAGGCTTACCCACAAAACTAAGAGGGTCTTATTGAAACTTTTTAAGGCTGGATTATGTTCTTTGCTTAGCTGAGCAATGTAGCATATGGTAAAAATGGTAATAATATGTTTAATGGTAAAAATATGTTCTTAATTTCAGATAAAAACTGCAAATGCAATGATGCAGTTTGAGTCCCAAGCCCAAGATGGAGAAAACTCTAAAGATTATAGAAAGGTAACCACAGATAATTTTTTTATGCTTACCATTAAATTAATTAAATACCTTTAAAAGTCAATCATGTTAGGAAAATGCTCTCAACAGTTTTGCTAGTTGCTGATTATGTAAGTAGACTATGACTTTTGTAATCAGTAGTCAGTTTAGGACACAAAATGAGAGTAGATTGCTTGCTGCTCTATTTTTAGCTAATTAAGGATCATGTAGCAGCTAATTAAGGTTCCTAGAAAGTTTTAACGATCTTCAAAATAGAACTTCTTATTATGCATCATGTAGAGTTCTTAGTTTTTTGCTTTGTAGTTAACAAGTCGCTAGCTTCCTGAATATAAGTCCCACAACAATTTTTATGAAAATTATTGACACATTTGGCAATGAAAAATCTTCAATGAAAAATTTGTAAAAATTTTTGTTTATTTTTTACAGGTGGAATATTGCATGAGGCGATTGGCTGAATATGTTCCAGACTGCAAAAAATATAAAGCGTCACAAGCTGAGGCAATGGTTCTTTTGGGAAAGATTGAAGAAGCACAGAATCTTGCAAAGTATGTTCTTTACCCTGTTGCCTATTACACAATAAAATCCCTTACTATTCTAACCACCAGCAGTGGTATCACCATCATCATAAATGTCCATCATCATCATCACTGCCATCAATGATCACCATGATCATCATTGGTGATCACCATCAATGATCACCATTGGTGATCACAATCAATGAGTGATCATCAATAAACTAAATTAGTGATCACTATTAATGACCACAATCAATGATCAGTATCAACAATTACCATGAATTATCACAATCAATAATCACCTTTATCATAATTTTTAATTTCAAAGTCCTGAAATCAAACAACCCTCATCAAATATGTTAAAATTGCAAAATAACTTTCTTTTGGCACTTTGAGTTAAGTGAATCTTCCCAATCCCCCTTTTACAAATTTGATGAGGGTATGTTCAATGCACAGTTGTCTGCACAAAAATTGAAAAGGAGAAAGGTCTTTGGGTCTGTTGCAAATGAACAAAATCACTTGTGAGAGCAATTAATAGTGCTACCAAACAAAAGTCGAGGAATTTACATGCCCTTTTTAATAATATATGGCAATCTACGAACTTTGCGACAGCAGATTTCTTTAAGTTATAAGCTGGATTTTGGATGTAGAATAGCAGAGCTCTACATTTGATTTCTTCTATTTTTTCAGTATAAATTCATTTTCTGGTATTTTATTTGTTTAATTTTTGCAGTGAAATCTTAAGAAGTGACATCAGCGTAGTTGAGGCATTATACGTCAGAGGACTTTGTCTCTACTATCAAGTAGGTACCATTAATCTGTGTATATGAGGAAAAAGAGGCAGTAGAATATCCTTATTCAACAATTTATCTGCTCCATATGATTCTGTAAATGTCTAGTGAATCTAGTATGATCTCACCCCCACTTTTGAATCATCCTTTGGATGAAGTAGGACCTCCACTCTATAAATCATTTGAAATAAATACTTGGCATATGCTTTAGAATCCAGCTATAAGAGAATTTGTTATTTACAATCTTTCTGCTATTATGAGCTCTGTAGAGACCAATAAAAAGTTTCTGATAATTTGAGTTTGCTTTACATAAGTAAGATAATTCTAAAGAATTCTAGACAAAAATAGGCCAGTTTGCCTCTTGGACCATCCCTGACCTACCTTGATTTCAATTCAGTTTCCTGGAATTGTAAAATTTTCTTCCATTTTATCAGGGGTCCAGTCAATTTTAGTCTGATTTTCTGTTAGCCATATTTCTGCTTTGGAAATGAAACCCCTAAACTGGGTTTGAACTATGAATGTTTGATTTCACAGATAATGTATTTTCTTGGGTCGTGTATATTACAGTATTAATATAGTTCTATCCTCCTATAGTATGGAAATTAAATTGAATGGAATGAATTGAATTTCACAGGATAATAATGAGAAAGCATACAGGGTTTTCCAGCAAATATTCAAGATGGATCCAGATTATAGAAAGGCCAAAGAAGTATACAGAGTAAGTAAAATCTTTCTAGTCATATCCTTTCTCTTTAAGTTATTCTGAAAATACCCCTTGTTTTCTATTCTTCAATGCAGATCAAAGTTTTCGAAAGACATTTTTTGAATTTAACTAAGCGAGTTTAATAACAGCAAATGTCTATTATCGACATAGTATTTTTAGGGTTTAAGGTACGGTCCTTAGACAGAAGAAGAATATACTTTTGTTGTCAATTTCAGCATTATCTGTTAAACGTGATCTACAAACAGGTTTTTTCACAGACCTCTTACTTAGAGTTCTCTGAAGAATAAGCAGTAGAATTTTCTGCATTTCTAGTTTCCCTATGACAAGTCTGTTTCAAGGCATTAATGATATTGTTACCCTCTAAAGGAAGCATTTTTCATGCAAGGATTTGTTATGTTTATAAACTTTAGGTCGATAAACTTCCAAAGGCTTCTCTTTGGTGTTTATTGTGTTTCGATGACATTTTATTCGGTAATGTTGTAAGGACACTAACTGAAATTTTTTATTTACATTTACTGAGTATCTTAATTTTATTCTAAATTTCGTGAATGGTATCCGCATCAATAATACTTGCTTGTATCTCCAGCTAAAATTTGTAAAATTTCTATTTTCTGACTTTTTTTCACCTAGAAAATTAAACTGTTAGAAAAAACAAAGGAAAGTGGCAACAATGCGTACAGAAATGGAAGGTTTCAGGAAGCCTATGATTTGTACACGCAAGCATTAGCAGTTGACCCATGCAACAAAGTGACAAATGCTAAACTTCATAGCAATCGAGCAAATGTTTGTGAAAAGGTGAGCTTTGTGATTTTGCATTTGGTCTGCCGACAGGTTTTGAGTATCAAATATACTGGTAAGAAATGGGGGTGGCAGGAAGGATTTTAGGGAAAGAACAAGGTCCTAAGGGCTGTGTTTAAAAAAAAAAATGCTACACTCTTTTGATGTTGCTCATAGACAAACGGCCCGCGAAATGTATTTGAAAAGCCTCCTTTTGAACACAAAAAATAGATTGGGTTTATACCACTGATCTAAAAAAGACTTGATCAAACAACCTATGTTCTCCTATATCTGCACGAGGAAGCAATCGAATCTCTCCATCTTGAGATCTCTTTCGCTAAAGATTTGTGCTGGCATTTGTTAAGATGGTGCACACACCGTGCTGCGCTTTAAATTGTGCATTTATCATTAAATTTTTAAATATTCTAAGAAACAATAGGCCTAGAAAAATAAGTGAACAGCGGATTCTACGTTACATAAGCTTAATACCACGGCAAAATTGCTTAACGTCATTTACGAATGCTGCAAGTTTTTGTTTCGACGGTTACTTTGAATTTTGCCATGAAAAAGCAAGTTGAACTAAAACTAATGTGAATGCACTCTAGTCTCATGCAACACGTACAAGATGGATGCTGCAAAGTAAAATCAACGCTGGGCTGAAGAAGCTCGATCCAGTCTTTTTTTAGATCAGTGGTTTTTCAAGGCTGTTAAAACGTGCCTCTTGAAGTACCGCAGATACAAAGACTATACCTCATGCAGTTCAATTAAAATTCATGTCTCTTAAATAAGCCAGCCAAAACAGTATTTGAAAAGTCTGGTAGTAGTACAATATTAAAACAATGCTTGTTTAACTTTCAAAGTGCAAACTGTTTTGATAACACAATTTGTTTTGTATTGAGGCATAAAAATATTCAAATTAGCAAGTTTGATTTGATTTCCTTTCATAAAACAACATTAGGTAACATTTTTATCTTCAACAGGTTTCGCTTGATTTTCACACTTTATTTTATAAACCATGGACAATATTTAATAGACTATTTTACTCAAATATTAATGGTTGCAGGTGGATATATGTGCTATTTTTTTTCATGGCCAAACTATGGTAATTGTTTGGCTTTTTCTATTAGCAAAAATTTTTGTTTGTTGTAGTTTATTCTTATGTTTTCTCTTTTGTAGAGAATCAACATTGAGTTAACCTTTTTATCGCGTTGTATTTTTGCAGTTAAACCGGATTGAAGATGCTATAGAAGACTGCAATCAAGCTATTGAATATGACCCAAAGTTCGTCAAGCCGATGTTACGGAGAGCCAAATGGTAAGCCGAGCTCAGAATGCTTACAGATACATATAACGTTTGTGGAAATCATGTCCTTCTTTTTTATCGTTAATTTGGTAATGTTGAATATTTACAAGACATGGTTTCAGTCCACGATTAATCATATAGCCAACGGAAAAGGAAAAACTGAAAAACGACCTTTTTCACAAGATTTTGTTGTCATACCTGCAATGAATGGTGTGTTCCTCAAACTGAATAAAAACAGTGTGATAACAAGCTATTTGTATGGAGATTTTTCAGTTGATTTCTTAACCCCTCCCCCACCCTTCTTTAAGCCTTTTTCTTAAATAGGCCCCCATCAAAATTGTCTCAAAACAATAAGCTCCTTGGGGAGGGAACTGTTTGAAGGATTTATCTACAGGATTAAAGAAAGATTCAAAATAAGTGCATTTTTATTTGATGAAAGTTCATTGTTTAAGGTATTTTTTGCTGAGTGATTTGTTTTTTAATTAAACAGTTCGTTTGTGCATTGTTTTTACAGTCAAAGGTACAATATAACCTTTAAAAATGCACGTTGCGTGTGGTACTTCATCCAGAATAACGATACTATAGTAAGCAAATAAATTTAGTACCAGAATGAAAATATATTAGTTTGGTTGTTTAAAACACTCAAATTATCTTACTATTTAACAATCAAACTATTATATTTTCATTCTGGTACTAAATTAATTTGCTAACTATATTATCGGTAATATAGCCTTTATAAGGTATAGCCTTTATTCATTTAGAAAGTAATGTGATCAAGATTTCTTTTTCTGATCAAGGGAATTGTTCTATATTTGGTTCTTTTATTGAGCTGTTATTTTATAGTTATATGCAAACAGAAAAATACGAAGAAGCTGTTCGAGATTATGAAAAACTTGTCAGATTGGATAAAAACCCAGGTATGTTGCACAATGTTTGCCAGCATCTCTTCATTTTCTTGTTTAACGTTAAATGTGAATTTATAGCTGAAATTTTTCCATATAGACTTTTTTATTTTGTCTTTCTAAAATGAATTGCCACAATTTTTTTGGGATATATATGTATGTATGTATGTATATATGATCAACTTCCTATAGATGCCGTGTGTATTATTTCTATTTGGTATTGCCGTGTTCACATTTCATGAAGCCAGAAATGCACTCTTTTTTTCTAATGAGAAACATCTTTGCAATTTATATGTTCACATTCCATGAAGCCAGGAAAGCACTCTTATTTTCTAATGAGAAACATCTTTGCAATTTATATGTTATTTTGATGGGAGAATCGAAAAGGGAAAATCTGAAAGGTAGAGCATAAGACATGTGAACTTAGATCCTAGTGCACTGCCCAGATAGTGAATAATACCCTATTTTTACTAGTTATCTCTCTACTACCAAATAATGACATATTCTTTAGAATTTACACCTATCAACTTTGTCTGTTCAAATTACCTTTATATCGCCGATTTTCAAAGAAATACAGCAGTAATTTTTTTTATAGTTATATCTCTTGCGATCTGTACTTTTAGAGTATCGACAGCTCCTAAGAGAAGCAAAATTAGAATTGAAAAAAAGCAAACGAAAGGATTACTACAAGATATTAGGTGTTTCAAAAACCGCAAGTGACGATGAGATGAAGAAGGCCTACCGTAAAGAAGCATTAAAACATCATCCAGGTAATATATTATTTTGAATTGTTGCTTCAAAAACTCATTCGTGTGTTTTCGCCAACAGTTTTGCTCTTTCAAAATTTGCAACTTGCCTTTAAATGTTTGAGAAAGTGCTCTGTGTAGCCTCGTGTTACCTTTTCGTGTTAGAATTTATTCCTAAGCTCTCTTTTTGTTGCCAAATTTTCAGTTTTGGAGGATTTGCAGAAAATGTATATGGCTTGGAAGTTTTCAAATTATCGATCTAAGTCTGGAGTAGTTCTAAGGATTGTTGAAATACAATAAAGAACCTATGGCGAGGTTACAAAAAACATTATAACGATAGAAAAAAGATAGAAAATTCGTGTAGTTTGGAAGGTCTTTTGAAACCATACGTTTTGTGGGAATCAGAAGCCAATGAAGAATAAACTAGGTTGTAATATTTAAAGTTATCTGGAGAACAGCACTTGGCAAAAACAGTTAAACTTTACAGCAACTGTAAGAAGTTTATATTAAAAGGTGTGCGCCTTCGTAGAAACATTAAGATAAACTTGGAATAAAAACGTGGAATAAATATGGATTGCAATTTGTTTTTATAGATCGACATTCACACGATTCGGAAGAAAAACAAAAAGATGAAGAAAAACTGTTCAAAGATGTAAGTTGAAAATGTAGTCTGAAAAAACCTATGTACGCCTTAGTTTGCAGTTTGTTTTTGTCAAGAATCGGAGAAGCCTCTGTGTGCCTTGGCACAGTGTTGGCGATGGGGCTTTTTTAAGACAGTGCTCTTCAAACTGATTGACAATTTGCTTCTTTGTAGTTTTGCGGTACCCCTGTTATTGATTTTATTGCTTTTGCCCTGGTTTAATTTCGACGGCTGTGAGATGGAAGATGAAGGCCACTGCATAGCACGAGAAGAGTATAAACAGGGAAAAGAATTTACTGCATCACCGTAGATAATTTTACTAAAATTCCATTTCTGGGAAACTTTTATTAAAAAGGTACAAGGAAAATTAATAGGAGGGTAAATAGAGGAATAACTTTCATCCGGAGGTAGGCTGAAACGCCTTCTGAACTCTGTTTGAAACGCTGACATTTTATTTTTAGGTTAACGAAGCATACAGCGTATTATCAGACAGACAAAAACGAATGCGATATGACAATGGCCAAGATTTAGAAGATGTTGGTTTTGACATGGGTGAGTTCACTTCAGGATTTCTTTTCTTTAGCAGATAAATTATGATATGTGTTTGAAATTTTAAAATTTGTACGTAGAAAGATAGAGGGAGTTATGTTTAACGACGTGTCAAGTATTGCCAGTTGTTCACATCGAAACGTCGTTAATATAATTTGCTCTTCCTTTCTACGAACAATTTTATTTTAAATTTACAGTTGTATTGTTACCTGATTGTATGAATTGCAATTAAATATATTTATAGATAAGTTATAGGTCCTTTATTTGTTTGCATAAAACCATTCCGTAGAAATATTACTTAAAGTGAAGAATATGGCTGGTTGAAATGGCAGTAAGATAACGATTTTTGTAATGATTTTTATTATTTATTATGATTTTTTACACTATGCATACTTCTTCGTTATAATTACATTTTGCAACACCTGCGAGTCCGATGACAGGTATTGGGTTAATCTAAACGCCATTAGATTTAACGTTGCACCAAAAATTTCATGAATTTAGCATTTTCATTTTGCTAAATATGGAACCTTTTCTCCTTACTTCCAAAAACACATATGATCTTGTTTGAGATGTCGTTATTAAAGGGTTATTTTCCCTTCTCAGAATTTGATCCAAATCAGATCTTCCAAGCTTTCTTCGGCGGTGCTGCCGGACATGGAGGACATGGAGGACATAGCAACAGTGGATTTTCGTTTCCATCAGGCGGAGGTAACTGATAATATTTACTTTTTATTGCATTTTTAACGCTTTAACTATCAACTATAAAAACTATTACATTCAAAGTCTTCAGGACTTGAATTAACTCGTTACTGATTTGCTCGTCTTTTTCTTTTTCTCTTCAGCTCTCTTCTCCTTCTTCCTTTTCTCTTCTTCATCTTCTTTTACCCCGTCATCTTTTTCTTTTTCTTGTTTCCTTGGTGGATTGGCCCTTTAAGTTGTCTTCTTCTGTTCGCTCTTCTTCTTAGCCAGGTTCTCATCGACTCGTTTCATTACCGTGTTTCTGTCGTTGAATCTTTGTACCTAAACTTTGGATTTCGTCTTTCTCTATTGTACAATAAGCTTGTTTACTGATATGTCTTTGTTTACTGAACTGACTTCCTCTCTCCTATCGCCCATATATCTAAGTACTAGGCAAAATTCCCACGAATTTAAGTACAATTTTAAATTTGAATCCTTTGTGCCCAACGAATGATGCTTTTAAGGACACAGAGCACTATTTCCTGTTTTGTCTTACTTACGACATAAGGAGACGTGTACCTTCTCAGCATTGTAAACAAGATATTGTTGTTTAATGGTGTGATTAATCTTTTGATTAAAGATCTGTCACATAATCATTCTATGTGGTCATCACCAGAGTTACATCATTTACCTCATGAATCAAATGCAAAATTCTGCTTTAACTCCAGAATATATCCAGGGCTCTAAACGTTTGTAATAAATTGGTGTCAAAAGACTGCGAAACTCTTTTTCTCTCTCTCTCTCCTCTCTCTCTCTCTCTCGTTGAAATATTTTGCTCTTATTTTAGCTTTTATGTTGATTGTAAATTGCCTCATGGTCGCTATGTATTTCCATGCTCCCTGTGCTCCCTTTTGTAAACTTATGCTTGTCTTGTAAGATTTTATGATAATACATAAAGAAATGTTTCGACCCTATTCAACAGCACCGCACGTATAGCTTTTCTGTATCTAAAGCCCCGGCAAAACGACTGGACATTTTCACTGAACATGCACTGGACAAATGTCCAGCGTAAATGTTGCGTCGTTTTGTTTTTATCGCAAGCTGTTCATGTTAATTTTGTTAATCTTGTCAATCTTTATATACCACTATCCACCTAAGTTCTGGTTTGAGTTTCCCATGCTTGACAATTTCCGTTTTGGTATCTTATCGTGTGCTTCATTCTTTTTTAGGCTTCCCTGGTGGATTCTCTTTTTCATTTGGTTAACACATCAGAATGAGACTCTTTCGCATCAAAACGTGATATTGCAAATTGAATTTTTATTCTTTATCCATGTTTTTTATATCTCTCATCTACAATCGTGTATGCTCTGCAATTGACTGATTTGTGATGAAATTTTGTTCTGTTTCTGGGGCGCAAAAAAATAACTGAGTTACGTAGTGCTATGTGTTACACGAAGCACAGTATTTGAAGAACTAGAAAATACACACGCTCGCAGTTATTGCGCAAAAATTTGACGAGACCTGATAGTCGATATTCACACGTCTAAATTAATAGTCAAAAATCTTGTTTTGTTGGTGTTACGTTCAGCGATCACTCTAAGTCGTAAATAGACCATAAAGAAGTAAAAAATTGTATAACGTTGGTTTAATATCGAGAAAATAAAATTGTCAATACTACTGTCATACGCTTGTATTGTCTGATTTCCCTTGTAGCTTCTTGTATAAGAAAATGTATAAAAAATTTGCGATACGAGAATGTGATCTATTTTTCTGCTTTTCCTATAAATAAACTTTTCTGAAATCCAAGACTATTTTAGTAAGCAAGACTGAATTTCTTTATTGATTCTGTGTAATACATATTAGTGTTAATTATCAACATATTGATATGTTATTAATGGCAAGTATTTTTATGTTACCTTTATTGTGCAAAGCTTACCAAAAACCGTAGAGGTTGCATGTTCTCTAGTCTAATTGTAAGCTATGGATGCTCTGTCACCATTATTCCATTTGGTAACAGAGTAGCTGCAACCTAGTGGTAAAATTATTCACCGTGTGTAGACTGTTTCTGTGTGTTTAAAAAGCTGATCCTGCTAAATGCTGAGACCTCAGAATGCTGGGACCTCATCATGCTTGGATCCCACAATGCTTGGACCCCACAATGCTGGGATCCCACAATGCTTGGACCCCACAATGCTGGGATCCCACAATGCTTGGACCCCACAATGCTGGGATCCCACAATGCTTGGACCCCACAATGCTGGGATCCCACAATGCTTGGACCCCACAATGCTGGGATCCCACAATGCTTGGACCCCACAATGCTGGGACCCCACAATGCTGGGACCCCGAATGCTGGGATCCAGGGGATCTTTTAAGAAATTTTCACTGTTGGGAATTGACAAAAAAGGACATTATTCTTAACGTGACGCAACTGACGGCAAAAGTAAAATCAAAGGGACGAGTAGGCGGAGTATGTAAGGCTTCAAGGTCTTGCACATCAGTCGTTACTCCCAGTGATGTAATCAGTGGCGGGGTGGCTATGTTTTCCCTGGGATGGCCAAGTCGATTTTTTGCGCCCTATCTATGATTATATTCAGAATACCAGCTTCAGAGTAAAACAACGTAGAGCAAAGTTTTGTTTCGGGCTCCTTAGTTTTTGAACTAAAGGTAACTTTAGTCCATTACGCCACTGCTTATGGGCGATTCTATCAGCCAAGTGTCATCATAGTTTGTTATTCTTTAGTAGTTATTAAATAATAGTTCTTTCAACAATTTGAAAGTTTCAAGCATTGAATCGCACTATTGTATGGAGAGAGGCGGCGGCACGAAATTGAATTTGGGGTTGGGCTAAGAATCAAGTTTAGTGACATAGGGTTAGGAGGACCCACCATGGTTCGTAAGAAAATCTTTGAAATCAAGCCTTCTAGAATGGCTAAAAATGCATTTCCCAACTAACATTTAACAAATTACTTTATCGGTCAGAATAGACGGTTCGACGGTGCTCAGATAAACATTGATTTTTTTGTTTAAAAAAAAATTGAAGGAGAGGATTCATGCATTGGGGAAAGAAAGAAAGGGTGACTTTGGTTCAGAGTGCATATCGATGTTAATAACAAGAAGCTGCTGTATTGATTGCCAGGGTGCATTCTATGTACTTAGGCCCGAAGATCTTCGGGTGCATTCAGGTTTTTTTGGCGTTCCGAGTGCAAACTAATAGAAAACATTTTTGGCATACGAAAATCTTCATTAAGTGGCGTAGTAAACATGAAGTCATGTACATCGTTAACACGAAAACATCTGACACAAATGTTGATTGGTTCGTGACAACGTTACGTGCTTCGCTTGTAGAATTACATGTTTTATTAGATTGTTCACAGCAAGTTACAGCAAAATGTTCTACCCGTGTACGATCAATTTGGATGTTCCTAGCCAAATATTACAGGCAAACAATTGTGGTGCCCCACTTATCTCCATTTGCGCCCATATTCAGGGGAGGCATGGCTCCTTTGGCCTCCCCTGTCACGACGCCACTGGGTTTAATCGTAAATCCTTAGGAAGCATATCGCAAAAGCCAAACAACAAAAACAGCGCTTCATTGGCACTTTTCAGAAAATATCACATTCTGTGCTTTTTGAGACATCTCTGCATTGAATATTTGACTGTTTGCGTCTTATCCTCGTGATATATGCGATGTTGTGCAGATCATCTTTCGTCCCTCTTTAAGTCTTTCGCACTTGTTTGTGCCCATTTTGCTACATGGCTTGCCCACTTGCCATTCATACTTTCCGAGTTTTGTATTTTTTTCTGAGTCTATTTGCATGGAAGTAAGCATTGATGCAGCAAATACTTACATATAACAAGCGCAAGGAAATGAGAGGTATTCAGATGTTTGCAGGAAATGACGCAAGTAAAACTGTCAAAACATGCGTCGTAGAATTTTCCCGCGAATTTCATTACCTCGCTTTTGTGTTAAATTCTTTCTCCTCGTCCCTTGGTTATAGTCTCGTGACCTTGGCTTCGAGAGTCATAGCCCTTGGAAGAACTCGCAACGAAGACTTGTACACTCCCCACAAGATCCGGAGAGTTGCAATTTTTTTTTGCAAATTTGTTGTTAGAAAAGAAGTGTTTACAAGCTTCAGTTTTCATGAAAACATTTTCATTAATATCCTCGATTTTTCTCTTGATGCTTTTTGTATCTACCTCTGGCCGTCGAATGTTGAACAATTTGTTCGTCAGAAAAATGTATCTTGCCGATATGAAAGTCAACTTTGTGAGGGTTGTTTGTCAATATTTCAAGATTTTGTCAAGAAATAATATTTTATCACAATGAGTGAAAAAGCTATCATTAAATTGCTTATATTATGGATGCACAAAGACTGCGGCTTTCGACCTATGCAAAAAATTGAAAAACAAGCATAAAATTTTATCTCAACCAAAAAGGTTTCTAAATTCATTTTAAGGTCAAATGGTCAAAAGGTTAATTTTGGAAGGGTTTCTAAAAAATTATTATCACTAAATGAAGGAGTGGTTACCGCCAGCTCGATCGTCGAACTCTCCGGATACTCTCGTGAGGCCAACTCGTCCGCATGATTTACTTTTGGTTTACTTCAAAATACGCCATTACTCTTTATGAAGTCTGGGGCGAGTGTAAACCAATGAGTTGCCAGTATTACCCAATTAGTTCCCAGACCTTCATCCATAGCAATTGTAGTTGCGAAGTCGAAGAAGGAAAGTTTTCATATTGTACTGTAAAAAATTTACTGCAACGAAAACAAAAGGAAAATCAAATGAAATCTTGAAAATTTGCACTCACAACATTCATTGATGTGAAGGATAGAATGAAGATGCATCTCCTTGCAGTTGTTATATACTTTCTCGCAGTTATACATGGGCTTTATTCCGGAAAATGTCCCCCTATCAAAGTGAGGAAGGACACGATTATTCGATCGAGAGAATCAATTCGCAATGGAGCCAAACTTTTATATAGAACTGATGTCGAATCATCTCGTGAATGCTATGAGCTATGCTGCAACAGAAAGTCTTGTAGTGTGGCTGTTATGCATTACAAAAAAGAAGTAGATGACAGTGGATATCCGCTCACGATAAAGACATGCTTCGTGTTCTCTTGTGGTACTCCAAATCGCTGCAGCTTCATGAATCATACTGGATATGCCGTTATTGAGATGCAGCGTGATGCCAACAAAGCAAAGCCACAAACAGAGCCAGAGAATCCTATCCCTACAGAAGAAAGTAAGAAGTCATCTTTGGTCAATTTTTCAGGGTACAAATTTAGGCCTACTTGTTTGCTGAAATCAGTTTTAAACTGTTTTATTTAGACTTTTGTTTTAATTGAAGCGAAGTTGAAGATCATTAAAAATTTCAACATTGAGCGTATCAATTTTCTACAAAAATGTATGCCATTTGTTTTGTAAGACAAATTGGAATTTGACCTGAGCAAATTCCTAGGTTAGAGCTCAAGTATGATCACAGGAGAAACAATGGTGATCTTGTTTGTGTGACGTTTAATTTTTCATCAACAGCCATCAAAAACTGTTAACATTTAACCCAATCAATGCTTGCTTGCTTGCTCTGTGGAGCAAACTCAAACTGACCAAGTATTGCAGCTGTGGACATTATTTTGTTTTTCCATATGTGCTAGTTAGCCTTTATTGTCATTCACTTTTGAAAACAATAGAAATATTCACAATTCTCACTATTTGCAGCTGTAACAACTCTCCTATCAAGATTCCCTTGGTAATTCCCTGTCATGAAAAATCAAATTAAGGACCACAAAGGTTTAGGTTGATGGCATCATAATTAAGAAACTCTTGAATAAAGTTGAGAAGTGAAACTTCCTGAGGCATTAAGAAGTGGAGTTCTTAACTACAACCTTGTCTTCTTATGAAAAATGAGTATACATTGACCTGGTCTGTGTATCTGCCATATCCTGCATATGTATAGTATTCAATCCCCAGTTTACTTTATAGCAGGGTTGTCCAACTTTTTTTCAAGGAGGGTAACTTTCAGATTTAGGTAATAACTGGAGGGCCACAAGTTTATATATATATATATATTTTGACACAAGATGCCTGTCTGTTAGGTAGCTGCAAGCTTAAGGCTCCATTTACACTGAAGCAATTGCCTACCATTCCACATTGTGCCATTCCAAAAAGTGGAACACTCATCGGTATGACTCACATGGGACAACTTTAAATTGTTCTGTTTAGTGATGCAAAAAGTTGAGCTGTAGGCAAATGCTATGTTCTGTTCCTGTATAAAGAGATGAACTAGTTTGAAAAATGGAACATTGCTAATTTGGGTAAAATGCTTGCGATGTTCATGTTGAAATACGATCATGGACACTGGTAAACTCTTTTTTGATATTCTAACACAGACAGTTGAACGGAACGAGCGTGTTCCCGAATCCTTAAGAAAGTAAATCAAGGCATACTGACCTTTGTGGCATAATCCAAACTGTAAACATTTGATTTACTTATGAATTGTTGACTAAAACCTTCCTTTTAAGAATTCTAATTTATCAAGATGTAACTGGCTGTCCATCTTATCTTATCTGCTGGTGTTATGATGCCCAACATAGCAATTATGTATTTCTTCCGTCCTATGATTTATACCCAAATTGTTTCATAATCAAACGCAAAACAGAATGATGATGCTAGGCTATTAAAAAAGTTGGTTGTCTACAATATTTTGAAATTGCTTTCACAAAGTTCATCAATTTTAGAAGTATGGGTTGTACCCATAACAAATTTTTAGAACAAGTCCAGCGTGTTCATGTTTGGGCACAGAATAGGTGTACTGGGACTAGCTAAGTGTGCGTTAGTGCACATGCTTTCATTTGATCTTCTAAAGAATATGAATAAATTTTCTCTTACAACTTTAATAAATTCATTTTAATACATTGTGATTCTATCAACGTTTGCGTTTGGACAAGCCTGCTTCACAGCATTATGTCAATGACAATATTCTATAATTGATAATTGGATGTGCAACTTCATACTCCAGCATGCAGCACAATTTGGTCTTATGTCTGCATTTGTTATTCCCTGCAGCCTGGGACAGGCTGGTGTGTCATATTCAGTATATTTTCATTATAAAAATGTTTATTTTTATGATTCAATATTGTAACTTTTTATCAGTAATTCTCAGCAGATTTTTAAAATATCCAGCTGGTAATGTAGTGATAGAGTTTATATATTTATGTGACTATGAATTTTTACAAGTTTATATAGAGTTTTTATAAATGAATATGTGTTACAAATCTAACAACAATAAGCAAAGATTCCTTTATAATATCAAGATAAGGTCAATATTTCAAATAATATTGCAAAGATTATGAGCAATCATGTCATACATTCACAATGAAATTAAAACTATATACTTTCAATTTTGAATTTTAAATATCTGTAGATACATGTATATTTCAATACTATTTCAAAACAAATTTTATAGATTTCAAATAACATTTTTGAAAAACTTATAACAAATATTATGATAACATTCATTATTTCAAACATTTTCAAGTAAACATTTTGATTTTTAAAATCACTTTATGACACAGCAATCAAAACACTTTGTCCATTTAGATGCAACCTGTTGTTAATAGTCATGTAGTTTTTACATAAATTTTCATAATGTTATCTTCTATATTTGCCTTTGTTTGTATAATCTAATTTATAGTTTATGATAGATACCTGATTGCTAGCTTTTAACTTTTATAACTATTAAGTTTAATACTGCCAGTCAACAGATCTGTGCAATGTCTTAACACAAACCTTGGTAATAAGGTTTTATGTCAAATGTATTGTTAAAGTTTAGGATTGGTATGGTAGCATCTCTTGTGTGCCTGTTTGTATAACCAATCCTTTGTTTTGAAGAACAAACAGGACTTTCACAAGTTACAACTCCAATTTCCACTTATCATGTAATAATTAGGCATTTAAGATGAGGTAACAGACCAGTAAATAGTTATCTTCATTACATCAGCGTCAATTGTATTATGAATTACTAAATGGAAATCTTTTACATTCTTCTTTTAGAATGCCCACCTGGTTCTCCTGTTGCCATGTGTTCAAATGATCCTTGTGACAAGGCTACTTGCCCTGGTGTTACAGATGCACACTGTAGGCCAAGCTTTTGTGGTGGTTGTAGTTTTGTCTTCTATAACTCGCAAGGCCAGAAGCTCCAATGTAAAAGTGAGAACTTTTAATTTTTTATTGTGAACAATTATATGTAATCAATAGTTACAAGAGAATGACAACAAGGCTGTATTATTCTCACTTATCAAACTCTTGATGTATTTTGCCTTGAATGTGTAGCTTTTAAAGAAATTTTTGTTTGTTTGTGTTAACAATATGCATTTGAAATCAAGCAACATAAAGCGAATATGTACCACTTGCAGCCATAATTTTTGGATACTAGTATGTATGCCAAAAGAATACCAATTGGGGAACATGCTGCCATAATTTTGTTGATATGTTTTAGAAAGGTGTAATGCTTTCTACTGCCTTTTTTTGTTCTATTACCACATCTCTTAAAAATATACCTTGTTCTTGTAGCCAAACCAAAGGTTACAGAAGAGCCCAAAAAGTCAAAGCACAAAAATGAGGGGGATAGTATAAAAAAGCCACAAGATTCAAAGAAAATATCAAGTAAAGGTGAAACAGGAAAAGAGGATCCAGGTAAAGAGACAGAAGACAAAGAAGTAGGCGGAAATTTCAAAGAAGAAACAGTCGTGGTTGAGCCAGAGGATACAGGTGGAAAACCGACAGAGGAGCCTTTATATCCTGGTGCAAAAGACCCTCATGCTGTAAAAGAATGGAGAACATGGTTTAATCCCAAAGACCCAAATAAGGTAGCCAATACAGTAAAACCAGCAACTAATACAAAGCAATCCATTCTTATTGGTAAGTGAGGTTTCATTGCTTACATAATGGTATTAAGTGTCTCCATGAATTTTTTTTCTTCTATTTATCAAATTTAGCTATTTTAATTTCTTTGTTTTGTGCCTCAGTGGCTAGTGACCACTCAGATATCACCAAATTTTTTTGCTTGAGATCAGAAAGTTTGAGTCACCAAAATCCTTTCAGAAGATTGTCTCTCAAGCACCTTTTAACAATATTACTGAATTGTTTTATTTTTATCTCCCAAGCTGAGAAGTGTTTCTTCAGTCATCCTATTCCTAACTTAGGATCTCTCTGACTAGGGTAATCAATTAAAGAAAAACCACATCAAACAGTAGCAATGTTAAGACTTGTATATTGTATGCATATTTTGTTACAAGTGGTATGAGCTGTTTTTCTAAAGATTTTTTAGAGCAACCTGAAATCCATAAAGAATTGTCTTTATCATCCATCATCGTTAAAAGTTAAGAAACCAAACAAGGTTGACAAAAAAATCAAAGATTACAACTGGAAAAGATTGTGTAGCTTTAACAGCCATTTCAATGAAAACTTCTTGTTTTTCTAGGACTATCTGACAAGTTTGAGACAGGAAATGCCAAGAAGGGTATCAAAAAAGTGATTGTCAAGGATTCTTCATTCTCATTGGCCCTGACAGTAGCTCTCATAATTTGCATTGTCATTTTAATGTCAGTCATAATCAAGCTGAAGTGTCTTGGACCAAAGAAGAAAAAGAAGTTTGCTGTTGACGATGGGGATTATCTTATCAATGGCATGTATTTGTAATGAAAGCGATTGGCTACTAGAAGGGTAATTAATTGCATCACCATTTATCAGTGATATGTAACCAATTTTTGAGCTTTTTGATTTCGATCTGGAAGTCTATTTTGTTTAACTGTAGACTGTAATTTACCGGAACTATCATCTTGAACTCATGTATTTGGTAGAATTAAAATTGCTTTGCTTATGGTGTAAGTTTAGTATCAGTTGGTAAACATCTTACAAACTTCATTGTAGAAGAAAAGTTTATTGCACTCCTGTTTAGTGGCTGTTAATTTGCATACATTGACCTTATACACAGCTGACAAGAATTTCCACCCTCCCTTTTCATTAAAGTTAACCTCCACCATTGATTGTACAGTTATATAGCAAATTTAAGACAGACCATCATTAAGCACATATAAGATAGACACAGCAGCTCAAATAAGAATCCAGTTTTAAATTACGCTCCCATACACTGTTTTAAATCCAGCATTAGTCCCAACACCCTACACAAAAGAAAAAAAATTGTCATCTGGAATTGCTCTGCTCCTGGATTAAGTCATAACACCTTGATTTGTATTTTTGTTAATTCCAGGCTGGATTGTTTTCTTAAGACCATAAGAATTAATTTATGAACAACAAAATTCATTCACTCTATCAGCAAAAATAATGTAGCTGTAAGTGGAGTTGGGTTATTTCGAAGTGGTAATTGTTGAAGATTTCTGAACAATCAATTTGATTGTATTTATTAGGTGGTGGGATATCGTCATTTAGTAATATTAAGTGAGTCAGAAAAATTTTATTTTTTTCTTATCTCTTCGACTTGTTGTTTGGAACCATTCCGATTATTTGTGATTGATGGCAATAGGTTTCACTAAATCCATCTCGCACCCCTAATAATAATGGGAGGTGATGGCCAAATCTAGTTTTTCCAGTGTACATAGTCTTCCTATATTGAGAAGCTATGCTAGGCACTATTGTGGGCAGTGCACAATTTCTAAAGTTGTTGGTGACTGGATACTCCTAACTGACAAAAAGATAAGTTATTTGGCTTTTCTTAAAGGGTCAGGCGCACTTCTCCAGCCAATACAAATTGCTGTGTCCAAAGATCTTTTTGTTTTCAGAGAGATTATGGACAGGTTGATTAAATGTTACTTGCTTAAGAAATGGCATTTAAATGGCGAGAATCCTTTCAAGTAAATGGCAAAGTTTCAGACCTTTTTTTGTTATAGAAAGCCTTGAAGTAAATTGTCACATGCAAAGGCGTGCCTGCTTATGAGCTAAGGGTTTCATACCTGAGAGCAAAGATGCGGGGGGGGGGGGTGTTGGAAAATTTCTCAAAATTCAATAAGCGGGGAGGGGGGTGGAAATTTAGTGTAATGTATCCGACCGCAATAGAGTACGGGCTGCACTGCTCAGACATCTTGAAGGAAATCTTGACACATTAGACAAGTGGGTGCTAATTCATCGCAATGAAACACACTTCTCACTAAAGCTTACTATCAAAGATCTGCTAGAATAGGCTACTAATCTAGAAACAGTTGAGAATGGAAGGTGCTCATTCCTTATCTGGGTAAACTCAACCTCAAGTTGTTCACCCTTTTCGAAGGGCTCTTCTACCAAAATCGAAAATCTAATAAGCGGGGGAACGCCTATTCGGGACCTATCGAAAATCGAAGAAACACAGAAAGCAAATGTCGATTTCATACCTTGTGTGTATATGGTGTTCCAAGCATTCAAGTAACAAAAGACGTCCTGTTAATTAATACATTTATTTGCTAACAAAATAGATCTGGTCAGAAACTTTGCTGTTACAAATTTGCGAGTACAGTGGCAGCGCCAAGGAGGCATAGGGACCCACTAACCACTTTTCCTAAAATAGGGTCCACCAAATTCTTATGAGTATTTGCCAAAAATTCATTGGGTAGGGTAATCTTTAATTTCTCCCCTTCACTAATACATAAAAGCACAAGGGTTTAGTAACGAAATAGCAGGAAAAGCACCGTTTTGGTATTTAAAAAGTGGATTGTTTCAAGGTTTTCCTGTCGCCTACACACTCAGAGCCCCATCAAGGCTTTCCCTAGAAAGTAACCGCTGGCCCTGCAACTACACACATGTTCGCTAGATACAGACTTCCGCGCCTCAAATTTGTAAACTCTTACATAAAACGACAAGCATGTACAAACAAACGATATAAACGTCTTGCTTTCTTGGTATCTAGCACCAAAACGAAGCTGAAGATCATCCTTTGGTAAAGAACCCTCTCTTTGATCAAGCCTCTGTTTGACCATATCAATTTCATGAATTAACATTTCGCAGAGATTCATATTTTCATCACATTTGCATCCTACATCCTACGGCACTTGTGGTGCCCTTTCAGCTTTTCCGTACCTTTTCTCTACATTGACTAATTTTTGCCTGATATTTACACCTTCCTTTTTACAAAAGTAACAGATTCCAAAACAAAAATCTTTAGGCACGAAATCAGATTAAAATACAAATTCTGCGTAACCTTTTCTTATTACTTTAACAACAATAAATGCATGCAAAAATATATCTGAAGCGTACATGTTCATGAAAATTTAAATTTAATCACGGAAACATCCATTCGCGGATGTGTAATGAGATCTTGTTTTTCACATTCCGTATTTTTTAACATTGAAATGCACAGCACAAGAAGAATTATTAATTGGAGTACTAAAAGGAGTTTGGAAGCCCAATTTTGACAAGCTTTCTCAGTCCTTGAAGCTAAAAGTTAGAGGCCATTCAATGCTAGAGGCCAAAAAAGTGAGAGAAAGAGGAATGAACTAGAGGTAAGATTAAGCAGCGGAAGCTTGTGGCACGATTAAAATAGTGGTTCTAATTGGAAAATCGGGTTGGAACGTGCAGGCTAGCAGCGCTATATCTAGGGTCTATCCGTTTATGCTTGTGTTGGTTGCGTGCGAGCAAGTGCATATAAGGGGCAAATTCTATAGTCAAACTCTTAAAGTCATGGTATTTTCACCAAACATGCCTCTGGAAGGCAGTCTTCATGCTGTTTCGCACCATCCTTTGAAAGTCTTATCTACAATAGGGTTTGTTAGCTACTTGGTCTAATGCTACTGCACGTTCCAGGAGCAAACATTTTGTTCAGAGTTGAGGCACTCACAACAGACACAATGACGTCACAAAGAAGAATCCTTTGCTGAGATGTTCGTTCGTGGGTTAACCGAAAGCCGTATTTGGGCAGCACAGCCAAGCTTTGCGTCGAATCCATTTCAGACTTCATCATAGTTCATCTGCAAGGACGGAAAATTTATATTTTATATTTGGTTTTCATCAGATGCTATAGAATTTACATAATTTAATTTACTGAATCCTGCTACGTATTTTTCATTCTAGACATAAGCACCAATAGCCACGACGAGGGATCTCATAATGAATGAAGAAAACAGCAGTTAACCCCAGTGTTACTGTGTCCATTGCATTTACATCACCTTAGATGCATGGGTATTTTGCTCAGAGGAAAGGCCACAGTAATCCGTAAAATTAAATTTATCAACAATACTCATTCAACCCGGTAACTTTTCTGAATTTTAATCTGACTTGAAAAATCCAAAATATGTCCATGCTAAACAACTCTGTGCGTTTTACTGGCCGACAGTCGATTCCCATCACTTGCAAACGCAAAGATATCATCAATATAGAGTCAGATCTCACATTTCACTGCAAAGAAAAATTTATGGCAAAGATCTGATATTCTCGTTATCGCATACAAAGTCTCGTTGCAGTTGTTAGAAATGCTAAAAAACGAGCATCACTGTTAAGATTAAAAAGATAATCTCTGAGGCTTGATAATATTGAAAATGATAATGCAAGCGCTGGCGACAGAGAGAAACTAGTCTAAGGGATCAGCTGTTGGCCTAAATCACCATTCTGTTGAACGAAAATACCTAATCTTGTTATATGAAGAGCTCAAAGAAGCAATGTTGATACAAAGCATTATTTGACAAAACATCTAGGGAAATTTAAATAAACACGAGATTCCAAAGATTCAATTGTCAAGAAAATATGTTATGGTGTCTAGAGAAGTAATACTAAAAATACGCTTGAAATGATTCCAGCAAAAGGAAAATCACACGAAGAAGGAAAGTAAACTAAGAACCAATGGGTGAACTATTGAACGAAAGGGCGATTCAATTTGTATCCTTTAGACTATGTCGGGCTTGCAGTGAAACTATGAGGCTCTTGAGCAACCGGCATGCTTTGCGAATATATTTTTAAAACAGGCCTGATATCATACTGCATGAAAATAAAAAAACAGCCCATTTCTGTTGGTGTAAATAAACAGCTAGCGCAAAGCACAACGGTTGCATAAAAGTCTTAAATATTTCTTTTAGCCTCTCATGTCAGACGAAGTGTTTGTTGGTGGTAAAGACAGTTCCATCAATTCATTTTCAAAGAAGATTCAACTGACATGTAAAGAGAAGATAATCTCAACTTCAAGAAAAGCGTCTAGGTTGCGGTAGCAGCTTTATTGTCTCTTAGAATGTATTAACAGAAATCATACTAAATTAAACAATTTTTCTTGTTCTAAATGATAGTACTTGCAAACAAATAAACAATCTTAAAAAGGTATGCTTTTTATATGATAGATCAATGTCTTGAAAGATGAAAAGAAATTTTTGTACAGTCACAGAGTAACCAAATGGTAGTCTGCGAAACTCGACAACAACTTTGGACAAAATGTGATGGAATATCAGATATTTCACAAATTTCGGTAAAATATCCAGCCTTCTCCTTCCCAATACAATGTCACAGGTTGCAACCTATAAGACCTTAACTGTGCAACATTATGATGGGAAGTGGGGCAGAAAGTAAGTAGGTAAACGTAAATATGTAATCGCTTTTGATTTTAAGAACGAATTTCAATACCGAAGTCCAAGATTGCCCAATAATGCTAAATTAACCAAGACAGATACATTCTCAATTTTAGACGAAGAAAAATAGCTGGGAAGAGCCACAAAAAGCTTATGAAACCGGAAACATGCCTTTATTATTTTAAAATGAACACTCCACAACTTTAATGCAGAGCACAAGTGTAATCTAAGAAATAAAAAAACAGCATAAGTCCATCTGGATCACAAGACGCGACATGCGAAAACCATACTAATCAAAATACTTACCAAGAAAGGATTTACTCACAGACAAAACGAATTCAAGAGGTATCATAGATACGAAAATCAGGCGGAAAAAATGACAGAATTTTCCCACAAAACAAATGTCAAATTTAACTGATACCTGCATGCTACCTAACCAGCTATCTTTTTACAATTATTTCTTCAAATAAAGTTATCTTTCCGAAAACATATTAAATAAACTCAGACTTTTATATTTGGAAGTGCAGGCAATGAGCATGAAAAGACTATAGGATACAGACGTCCTAATTCTATGAGACAAATCCCTTATATAATATGTCTTCAAGACTGAATCAAAATTCCAGATACTTTCAAATGCAAATCTAAGGACCCTTTTGGAGGAATAAGGCAAATCAGGATGTTAAAAAAAGCCATATTTAAATGAAAATGAAATTATTCGGGTATTCACACTGCGAATTTACGTTCCAATCCTTTTTTATTTTTCTACGTATTCAAGGTTCGTTATGAAATTTATCTGCTTTCAGAACATTGGCAGCGCAAGGCAAAAATCGCCTGCTTCAAGTTCGAAGCCTTCAGAGTTCTACGCATCTTCAATTTGGCACTTAATGTCCCCTAGTGAGTGGGACCCTCCGCAAACGTTCATAACCGTAGCCTGCATGCAATGCAATCATAATCGAGGATTGTTTAATAAAATAAATTTACTCGCCTGGCCACTGATGTTGTTTGTTTGTTAAGGGTACATAGATAACACCCATTAAATTCTTCTTGGTTACAGACCCATCATCTTGTTTGTCATATTGCTCAAGCATCTGGTTGCCACCCTCAGGGCCAACGGGAATAATCAACCTACCACCTGGTTTTAATTGGTCTGTGAGCTGAAAAAAGATTGTGCAATTACCGAATGCATATTAATATATGTTATATGTCAATTCATCATAGATTAATGTAATTCATCTATGCCAGATTTGAAGATAGCACAGAAAAGCGAACACTTAGCACTCAGTTCTTTTCATACGACACTCCTCAGAGCATGAACGTCTGATAATGGCGATATGTAAACAAAAATTCATTGAAAGCAATGCAAATGAAAAAATGGTCTAAATTGCTGCCTATATTTAGTCATTTTCCGAAGTGAATACTCAGAGGAGTATCGGGCAAACAAAAGTATTTAAATATCCATTCAATCTTCAAATTTTGTTTAATCAAAGACATACTTGGTTATACCACATCATTCTCCGCCCAAGTCCCATACCTACCGTTATTAATCAAATAAGCACCTTGGGTGCTTATTAAATCTTTCAGTTTTTACCTGGGATTTTCCTTAAGAAGGCATTTAGCTGGGCATTTACTTGAATTATCATGGTAAAAAATAAAAACACTGCTATTCGTCAACAGTCAATACCAGAACTACAGCAAAATAATATATAAACAAAGATTTCTGGCAACATACTGCTTTAGGGAGAGTTGGTGCTGCCGCCCCAACATGTATTGCATCAAACGGAGCTTCTGAAGGATATCCCTGTCTGCCATCACCAACTAGCAGAAAGACAGTAAAAATTTCTAAATACGAACGTTAAAAAATGAGAGAAATTTTCTTTTCTTATGATATGCACAACATGAACACAATTCAGGTTTCTGACCTGATTAATTGGTCCCAAAAGGAAAGCAGAAAATACTGTTGCTTGAATAGGGCAGTCGTCTGGAAAGCACATTTGTATTTCAAAATTTTAAAATATCGCAGAAGATTGGTAAAAATCATAAAGCTTACTGGCCTCAGCAAAGTATCTAAGCCTGCTAATTACAGCCACTTGGTTCGGTCCTTTGTACCTTTATTGTTAAAGGCGAAGCTTAAGACAAACTTCAACATAAAGGCTTCAAAAACTGTGATGAAATTTCTTCAGAAAAGGCATTCACAAACTGTCACCAAAGGTCTACTGTAAAATTGATAAATTCAAATTCTTGGCTTCAGATGATCAGAGCTTGACATACACATTTAAATATCATCAATGAGGTATCTTACTCACCAACAAGTTTAACTATTCCTTTATCAAGAAGGTCTCCATCTTTCTTTCTCAAATTCTTTTCGGAGTCTTTTACTAGACCACCAATATGGTCAATACCAATCACCTTTCCTTCATCACCCACCTAGATAGAGAGGTATTTGTTTCAAGCTTTTCATTAAAAAGTATAAAATATGGAAGCAAAAACCACCAATACCCTAAAGGTTTCCATAATTCAAACTTTGTTAAGTTTGTTATAAGCTCAAGTTCCCTCGATTTTCCTTTATGTCAAACTTCAATTTTACGGCTTGAAAGGGGTTGGTCTTTTGGGACATAAAACAAAACTAGCACAAAACTAACAATTAATTTCGGTGCAGGTTTTTCTTTTAAATCTTGTTTTTCACAAGCATTTTCCCCATGTTTTGGTTGGTTGGCAAGAACAATCATATTATAATACCTAGAAAGGCAGTATAAAAGATATAGTGAAAATCTCCAGTCAAATAAATCTTTCACAATCTGGTCAAATGGTGAAAGGATTTTGACAGCTTCCACATTTTTGGAGCATTATGCAACATTGCTTGGAAAGGACTTCATAACTTCTACTGTTACTGCAAATGACATAATCTCAGCTAATGATTTAGTTTGAATATGATCAGTATTTTCATGGTTGGCATTATGTTAAAAAAATTTCACCTTATGATATTAGTATTTTAAAATAAAATTATCTTGGTTTTAAATTAAAATATCAACAATTTTTTCAAATCAAAGCTTGTTTAAGTGTTGTTTTTAACAACATTATAGTGATAGAAAGAAACTATCTTGGTGGTACCAAGTCAGTTCAGTTCCAGTTCAGTTCATAAATTAATAATTCCACTACATACAATTTAATAATAACCAACAAGACTACAAGGAAATAAGACAATGTTCAAAGGAGATTAAGACAACGAGGAAAAATTGTATGCAGGGAATTACTTAAAGGAGGAGCTCTCTCAATAGGTAAACTAATTGAGGAGAGAGCCCCCCCCCCCGCCCCCCATTTGAATAATTTCAAGTGAATTAGGTTGGATTTGAATAATGGGACAATTCCAGCTAAACCCAGCAGGCAACCACCAGATCCCATACCTTCATTTTTGAAAAATGTATGCAACTATTGCAATCAAATAAAGAATATATATTATGGCAATAATACTGACCATGTATCCCATGCAGGCAGCTAAGTATCCACTTCCAGAACCAACATCTAAAGCTTTTGCACCTTTGTATAATTTTTCTTCAAGTAACTGCAGGGCATATGCATGCTAACATAGAAACAAAGATCAAATTTACCATCCAAGTTAAAATTATAAGAACAGATAATATTACAGCATCTTGCCTCATAAAAGCAAAATTACTTTTTGCAACACACCCTAAAAGAAATAATAATTTATTGAGAAAGGTGCGTATTATTCATGCCAAAATACAGTAAACTGATAAAGTAGAGCTAGCAATTAGATAGGAATTTATGATTCTAGATGCATCATAAATGATCTAGATGTTATCAAAATCTATGTTCTTGGAAATTGACTTGTATAAGCACAACGTAAATAAAAATTAAAGCAAAACTTCAGTCAAAAACATCTATTTAATAACAAAGAAATTTTTTTGAAACAGCTAGCAACAAATGAAAATTTCAAAATTGAAACTGTTGGTTCAAAGTACTTTTTTATGAATATACCAACCATGTGTGGGGCACTGATTGTGGCAGCATAGCCTGGAAATTTAAAGATAAAAACGATCTTTAGGTGTTAGTCTTCCATGATGAAGGCCTGTAGGCCAAGTTTTGCAAAGCAAATGAGTTGAAATATTGCAAAATGATAATTTAAATACCTACCAATTGGTTGTGGAGAATCTTGGTAAGGACTTCTTGGACTATAGTTTCCTCTGTCAACTCGTCTCATTGCCTTCTCTACATTTTCACTTTTTATCACTTTATTTGCTGAAATTGTTTAAACAGAGTAAAAAAAACTTAAGAATGCATAACAGAAAATTAAAATCACTCTTATATTGCATATTAGCAAGCCACAAGGTTGGAGAATAAGTGATGATTTTAGCTACAAATAGCTCCTATCAGTGCTGAGTTACGAGGTGTGAACTTCAAGTGGGATCAAAACAAACTTTGAATTGAATATTTTTGTTTATATCTTTAAGAAGTGGATGAAGTACAATGAAGAATGATTTTAGCTGTTAGTTTGGACTCTTAGCCTTGTGTGCAATGGTGAGTGAATACAAATTTCTATCATGGTAAAGCAAAACTACTCAGGGGCAGAGAGGGGATCATTGCCAATATGAAAGTACAACAGGAGATCTCAGGTGTTCACAAACAAAAATTGAAGTGTGCAGTGTGCATTATAGAGTCAGAAGTGTGCACTTCAAGTGTGTGCAAGCTTAAACTGTTGATTATCATATTCTGCTGTAAATTTTTGTTCTCCAACAACACACAGTCAGGCACACACTTGACAGATTCAAACTTTTGGCAATTGAATTGGCAAGGATATGGCCACATGTGTATTGGCTCTTTCCCCATCAAACCTCTATATTTTGGTTTCTGTTCAGAATTTTATCAACAGAGCCAAAATAACTGTGATTCATTAGCAAACTTCAAATCTTTCATTGACCATATCTCAACCGATATTGGACATATTTGGCCAATTTTGGATATCTAAAAGTATTTTGTTGTATTTTTTATGTTTTATGGTTAAAATTCAAAAATTCTAAAAAAAGGTTTTTGCTGACATCACACTTTAGGACCCAATTACCTGTGCTTAGTGAATTTTCTTTCTTGAGACCCAGAATTTTCTAAGCTTCTTCCATTTCTGATTGATGGAACTTCAAAATTTCCACAGAATTTTACTTCACTCTATTTCCTATATCCAAACTGTCATAAGCTACCATGGTTGGTGGCAGAAAATCTTTTTGCAAAAATGACATGCTACAGATAGCCCGAAAATGAATTTGGAATAATTACAAAATCGACTGGCATTTTATTTAGGAAAGATGGATCCTAGAACAGACAATCATTTTATCATAATTATGCTCCATAGTTCTGTTTGGTTTCAATATGACACGAAGATAGGAAAAGTACAAGAAATTGATTATTTTTTGCCTGGGTCCAAAAACATCTGAACGGCCTTTGTTCTTTACAATTCATATCTTTTTACTAAGTATATCTGGCACATATATGGCAGATTACAATCAAAATTTGTGAAATTTGTAGGAAACGCTCTCCATAAATAAGCTAAAAATTATAAGAGCTGAGCTTCAGTCACACGTATAAAACTTTTAATTCACAAGACGTTTCAATCCAGGATTGTACTTTTGAGGATTTTGGTAACTTAAAGTAGACATGATCAAAGGCACGTATTTTTACAAGCATCAAAGTTGAAAGTTCACCACTAAAAAGCAGAAGAAATCAATTTTGACTGAGAAAGGCACACTGTCATAAAGAAATTTACCTTTGAGTTGAGTAATTAAATCGTCATTATCTTTACCGTGAGATCGCCAGGCCATCGCTCTAAGTGGTGAAAAAGTAAGGAACAAAACAAGAATATTATTTAATAATCCAACACGCCTATTTAGCATCATGGAGTACACCGACTCACTCCTTTTCGACTTTGCCTCGTATTGGTGTATTTCCTGGCATTACAAGCGCTTCTATATCATTGTGGCACTACCACAGAATATATTCTGTGGCCCTACCCAGTGGCACTACCCCTACCCTTTTATTTCCTTTGTCCCTAGAAATTTGCCAAAACTCTCAATAACATTTTTGATTCTTTAAAAGAAAAATCCTCCATTCGCGTGAAGTCTGTTTTAATCCCCCTTCATAGGAGGGGGGCTACAGAATACCTTTGTTTTTCTTTCAAACAGCGAGAGTAATTTTTCTCTTTGGGACTCTTTATCTGTATACAGCCTTACTGGTTGGTTGGTTAAAAGCAAGAACCCGGCAAAATGAAATCCGCGCCTTGTGATATGTAAATTACTATCAAGTGTCGTGCACTCACTCTCATTTTCTATTAATTAATTTCACACGTCTTGTTTGTGGGCTTTTTCTAGCACATTCACTTTTACATATAAGAGCCAGTAAATTGAGGTTTTAAGCTAGCTGTTCTTAGCTTTTCGAAATCTTTGAGGCTAGATTGTTCTTAATTCGTTCTTAAATTTTTAAGCAGTGCAAACGCTAGCTATTATGCGCAAAGAGGAGTGTTCAGACCTCTTTTGCCAAGAATGTGAGTGAGCCATTCTTTATTTGCAGACAAATTTGCAAAATTCACTGAAAGGCAGCCATGCATGGCAAGAAAACTCATTATTGTTTTTGAGAATGAATTTCTGAGGGGGTTTTACAACAATGCCATTTAAAGGACCTCAGCCTCAGCTTGTTTTTAATTTTTTTTTAACTTTGGTTGTTTGAAGATGGCATAACAAAGGTACCATACAATCATATTGCTCAAAAGGACATTACCTGCCCAAAGAAGCGCAGGGGGGGAATCGCCAACAAAAAGTACCAAAGAATATCTAAGTCAAGTAGATCTGAAATTATCCATCAGGGACGTAAGAACGTGGTGAAAAGTGGGAGCATGACGAAAATGGACATGATTTCCTATTATAGGGACATGTTAAAGAGACAATTTTCACCCCAATGGGGCCAAGCATTTTGCTACTGGAAGTATTGGGGGCATGTGCGCCTGGGCTTCTTTTTCCTACACCACTTTAGCCATCATTGCAGCCATTGTGCTAGAGTCCTAGAGCTCCCGCCCCGTAATGGCAAAATTATGCTGTCGTTGTTTTACCTGTAGATTTGAGCGATTATGAAATTTTTCAATAATTCATTGTAATTTTTGACAATTATTATCATGTTTTCTTTATATACTTGTATCAGTACTTTAAAATAAACCTCCATACTTGTTGTTCATGTCACACCAATACTCAAATAGAAATTCAATTATAGAATGCAAAAACTTTTTCATTTAATGCTGGAATCTTTTAACAGCATTTGTTAGGCATGGGGGAAAATCAAACGGTCTTATTTATCAAGGTTTTAGATTGCAAGAGAATACCTACCAAAGAAATATTTGTGAAAACATTGGTCATGAAAACGAGATATTTGACATTCAGAAAGCATTCATTTGAATGAATTCAACCGACTGAGCATTTGTAACTTAGGGATTAGTACAAAAGGCTCTTTGACTAGAAATTGATTTTCTATCGCTAAATTAAAGTTATTAAGATAATGAAACATAAAGTAAAGAGGGCATCGATTTTATTATCTATTGTAGATGGAAGACTGAAATAAGATAACTTTTATCTTAAAGAATTTCAGCCCTGTTGTGAGAAAGCTGACCCATAATTTGACTAGGATCTTAAACTAAGATGTTTTTTCAACTAAAATAGCCTATACCTTTGGAGACAAAAGTGGTAAGTCACTTGCAGTTTCATAATACCAGTTATTTAACGCTTTTGGTAGGTTTGATCTGCAGTCTCTCGAAGGACCTTTAAAATAAAATTTCTCCGGAAGATACTGATTTCTAGAAAAACACATACAAATTCTTATAGTTATGCACATTTAACCAAGGTGAAAGGTGCATTTGAAAGTTATTCTCTAGGATGGCTGTCTCGAGACTTCTGTCTCCTCTCCTTACTCTTTCACATAATTCTTCCTGGTCACACCGCTGACTTCGATTAACAACGAATTGCTCTTTTATCCTTAAGAGAAAGGTCTGCATAAAATTTGAGCAAAGAAAGCATCATTGATATAATGATATAATAACACGTTTGTTATAAAAAATTGAGTTTGACAAATTAACAATAAATAGGCCGGGGCACAATAGACAGGGGCAGAGAAGGTAGGGGGCACATTGAGCAAGTTCTTATTTTTGTTTACAGGAATTCAAAGGTTTTATATATTTGGAGTTAATTTATGCCTTTTTCGGCTATTTTTAACATTCCGTCAAACAATCTAAGCAATTTTCCCAGCTTTGTGTATCTTATGTAATTTCCCCACCTTTGTGCATCTGTTGTAATTTTCCCACCCTATGTACGTAGCTAGGTGGCCCTTTTTTGCAAAAGTTGCCAACGTCTACTTCTCGATTTTCGATTTCTTTCCTTAAGCAAGGACATTTTTTTACACTTCATCCCTGCCTGGGCCTATGGCTCACCTATAAACACACCGTTTATGGCTCAAAGTGCAAGTACATGTGTAAGTTTGGGACAGTGTTCAGTGTAGTTCATTCGCAAAACAGTCTCTGTTATTAGCTTATGCCGATGGAACAGTGTTTCTGACATCAATAGCTTTTATGCATTTTTGAAACGCCAACCAAAGCCATTCCACTTTATAGGAAAGCCAACAGATTCCATTTTTAATGTGACACTTTCTTCACTGAATTCTGTATTTCCTCTCTATAAAATGAAAAGCGTATGAAAAGTTACTTCTTACAAATTTTCTTACAAATACCAGTTAATATTGAGTTGTATTATCCTCTATTAACGGTATCAGTGGCGGAAATTCAGGCTTTCATTTCGAGAAGGGGGGGGGGGGACTAAGGCCCACGATTTTCCGACAATTAACATCTTGGCTGGGCTTTCAGTAAGTTAAACGTTTAACCGGACTGCAGTATCGTCTCATCTAATGCAAGTCTAGGGGTCCACTAACAAGAAAAACAAATTATATTACTTCACAAAACATGAACAAAATTCATCTCTAGGATGTACACTAGGATGTAACGCGGGAGTTAGAAACTGGACGCTGCACAGAAGCTTTTCAGGAATTGGCGGGAAATCGTGATGTTTGTTAGAAACTTGTTTGGAAGGAAGGAACTTGGATAGCGAGCGAGAAGGCATATTTATCAGGTACGAGGATTGTTGGATGGGTTAAGATACAGTTTTCAAGATAAATGCATATAATCCTCATACAGTATCTATTTAAAGAAACAAAACAGCATTCCAAATCGACAGATCTCTTTTGTAGAGTGCAGTGTGCTGCAGAGGCTCTCGGAAAAAATTATCATAATAATTTAGCAGGGAAGTAGAAAAAAGCTACTTCCAAATATATAAATTAAGGTTCAGCACGCCCAGCCTCTAGCATTAGTAGAAAGTTGAGAGAATTTCAACAATTAAGAACAATTCCAATTCCTCCAATTAAGAGAGCAGTGCTATTCAAGTATTTTAATCCTACTACTAGGGTTTTGTTGCCATAGAAATGACTGACCCTAGTACTTTCTATTTAAAGACCCTAGTAAAAAACTTTCTATTATTTAGAGGCAGAGAATAAAATTTCTACTTTATTTGAATATATGGATAGCTATACTTACAGTGTGACAACTCTCTTTATTAACTCTTTGATGAAATCCTATCAACAAGAGTACTTTATTAGAAATATTGAAAAATTGAACAATGGCAAAGGATTTTTAAGATTGCCTTAAAAACTGAGATTTAATCCTTGCATTTACTCTTCATATTTTGTTTAATGATATCATGGATTGCTACCTTGTGCAATGTGAATGCGAGCTTCTCTATTGCTATCTGCCAAATGAATTTTTGAGATGTTTTGGGAAATAAACTGCAAGGCTGCCAGCTAAATAAATTGGTTCTTAGAAAAGCAAATTCAATTTAAGGCTCATCTCATTGTCTTTTATTTTCACCTATAAAATCATTCACTAGGCCTCTTGCATGATGACTTTAAGAGTTTTATGGAAGTCTACTTTTTCAAGTAATTCGAAACACAAAGCAATCAAGTTTTATTAATGAATCATGAAATCTTCTTTTTCAAACTTGTTCCTGGAGACAAGACTTTCTCTCAGGCTGCATCCATCAAAATAGCTCTCTAAATAAAGCTTTGTTGCAAATGGTTGCAAATGGAAATAATCTGCTGAGCAATATTCATCCCTCCACTTTTTTAAGGTGCTGCAGTAATTTTGATACATTCTCATACTTGTTAAAAATTATTTTTTATTTACCTCTGTAGGTTCTTTTGCACCCTTTAAAAGCTCCTGAAAAATTGAATACTGTGAAGTAGCAATACATCTTGAAATATCAGCAATTGAGGGAAAGTTGTAGAACAATTTCTGAAATTATTCTAATCACATTCAAAGAGTGTCCCTAACTGTTCACTCATAGATGGAAAATGCCATCATGCCTCCACCCTGCATGATGATTATGATTATGATTATGATTATGTTGATAATGATGATGTTGATGGCAATGATAGTTGTCAATTGAAAGTTTTGAACTAATGAGGTTTGTAATTTTAGTTGTTGTTGAATCAAAAGTAAAAAGTTTCCACTTACTGCTAACATTTTTGTTTGCTCATTCTCATCTGACTCATCCATTAGAACATCAACATCAATTTCAACACCATAATCTTCATCTTCCTGCATTGAAAAATAAATATTTATATTTAAATCAGTTTTTATGCTGCTTTTTTAGTTCAATTAACAGAGAAAGATAATCAAAACTGGTTTTCATGACATATCAGACAGTTTAGAAGGAATCAAGATTTCCAGGTCAGACAATTAAACATTTAAACTCACCATGATCTTGATAAAAATCAAGATAATATCAGTCATACTTTTTTATCATTGTTATTTGGGTACTGTCAGTGTCACAACCCCCCCCCCTAAGTGTCAGCAGATTTGGCATTATGGCATTTTTGGTGCTTTTTCAGCAAACTTGGTGACAGACCTGTTTCTATATATTGTGCTCAAGGGGGGTTTCCATTTCTCATTTGCCAACTAAGTGGGTGAGCCATCCTGTATTTGCGGACAAGTTTTGAAATTTGCCAACAAATTATTTAAAGATGACAAAAAACTCCTCGTTTTTGCAATGGAATTATTTTTATGGAGGTGTCATGCCCCATGCACCCCCCTATATTGAAGGGCCTGCTTGGTGGTGGCACAAATTCATTTTCATTTCAATTTGATCCTCTTCTCTCCTCAGGACATTTATATTTCAACTGTTAATTGGCAAACTGAAATCATTGAGAACCGAACTCCACATTACAATGTTTAAGGTTTGGGTGATTAAATGACACCTCCATAAAAATTACTGATTACCAGAAAAACTATTGAAATCATCAAATAGCATTCCCCCTGTGGATATTATTTCTAAGGATAACAGGTTCTTATGTAAGGTGGTGAAAAATGGTTCAAAGGGGACATTTTCCAGCAAACTGGAGGCATCAAAATTGGAAAATTTTTCTTCTTCTGTGGCAACCTGTGCCATATATTTATCACATTGCAATAGCCTGCAATCTAGCAAAAACATTTAGCCTACCTGTGTAAAAATGATTCCTATTCTGTTCAATGATTGAATAAGGAAGTTTTGTGATATTAAAGAAAGTTTTTTGAAGGAAAGCCTATCCCAATACCCTTGTTATGACTGGTCTTGCGCACCTGTGTCAGTTTGTATTTACTATTACATTGCTGAGATCATTATATTGTTCAAGAACCACAAGGTCATAGTTAGTAAACATGCAAGAAGGTCCCTTCTGTTTTGGAGGAGAGTATGCCTTCATTTTACTTGACACTTGGCACCCCCATAAGGATTTTCTAGCACAGCCCCCTGTGTCTAGACTTATCATATTTAACAAGTAGCAACAAGACCACAGAGCTTTATGTATTGGGGGGTCTAAAATTTGTTTTTTTGAGGGTGGCCAGGACAATGGGGATTCATTGTAGGCTTTTAGTACATTTTGTAAATTAACAGGGGCCTATTTAGCCACCATGCCTCTGCTGTCCCTGGCCCTGACAGTTACTTCAATTCCATAATCAAGAATTTGAACACCTGCTGTTTTTGCATATGTATTCTTTTCAAGAAACTTATGTACTTGTTTGTGATTAAATGGCTCTAATAAAGACAGGAAAACAGCTTAACATTATTTATTAAAGATCTGATCAAAGGTAAGTAATTGGCTGTGTTATTGCAAACAATCAATATTGGATGAACTACCAAAATTCTTTATATTGCTGACTGTTTTCATTTTGACAACAACTACCATGTTGTCATTATCTTTTTGCTCCCAATGACGCTAGTCAAATAAATTTGCTGTCAAGTCATTGTCTCAGGTAGCTTATTACTGGTGGAACCTGAACAAAATGTGTCAATTTTTTTGTGAAATGAGCTAATTTTCTTTTCTAAGCATTGCAAAAAGATTTGTATTCTGACTCTGACTCAAATGGGTCAAAGACCTGAATACAGAGAGCATCTTATAGTTCTAATTCCATTTGCCTGTAACCATACCTGTAAGAAACATCTATTACACAATGATATTTTGGAAAATTCTTACAGGGGGGGGGGAGCCTTTTATAGGACTGCAACTTCACATCCCAACCCTATTACTATGTATGACTAATGGATTTTGCACTGGGGTTTCTGTGAACTGAGGCTTTGCTTAAAATGCACATTGCATCTTGCATCATTCTTTATTAATTGGCATTATATGCTTAAAGATTGCAGTTTTTTGCTGATTTTTAGAGGCAGTGTGGAGTGTTGATAAAAGTGGGGGGGGGGGGGGGGGGAGTCTAATTCAATAAAGAGAGCTTGTTTTTTAATGTTTTTTAATGGTAGTTTGTTTTTTAATATTTTGGCTTTTGGATCCCCTATAAAGGCCTCCTTTTCAGGAAATTCTTCCTTTAACATTTGATCTCTTCTAAATGAATCACTAGGCTATGCTTATGGTCTGTGCTGATGGTCTATTGTTTTGCTTGTTAGCCAACACGTTTCTTCAATGTTATCTAGCTTACTTGTGTATATCCTCACATCTCTTTTCTGAAAGCAAGCAGGTCCTCTTTTCTGAAAGCAAACAGGTGTTTCTTTTATGTTACAGTGTAACATTTACAGAAGATTCAGATCTGATTGTTGATATTGGACCCTTTTTCATTTTACTCTTTGGAGACATTCCAACTATATCAATTACTATAATAAAAAGTGTGTATTATATTTTTATATCTGCAGATAATCCTTGTTACCCTGACATCTCTTTATTTCACTGACCACCTTATGTGTATTAGTACACTATTAATGATATGATGAAAACCTTTTTTTGAAAAGGAATGATGTGGGAGGCCTGGTAAATATTTTTTACAGTTTCTTTGTATTTGGGAAGCAGCGAATTGCCAAGAAGCACAAAAGGTCTACGTTAATGGAAGCCCAGTTAACTGTGAACTAATATGACTGAAAATACAAAAACAGTTATTAAAAATCATTATTGATATTTCATGTCTATTTCTTCCCTTCTTCTTCGAAGAAGTATTTCAGCTGATAGGATGTTTTGCATTTTGTGCTATTTGTAATGCACTCGTCATACATTCTGTTTTTCAGATGAAACTTCCCATCTGTGATTTGGGAAAAAAACCCTGAACAATTGTCCAGTTCTATTGTCGACATCTAAGCCTTGAATCTCCTGTAATCACTTGGGCACTGAGATGAGATGCGCAAATCGCGTTGTTCCTCTGTTGTTCTGCTTCCTTGTGCATTCTAATCACCTAAAGTAAGCCGATATCCAACCGCCTTATAAGCTATGAATAAGTTTTATTCCCTCCTCTTCTCGTGTTCCTTCATTTATAAAATATGATTCCCAATAAGAGTTCCGTCTGTTTTTATTTATCAAGCTCCCGCACTCACCACTATACGCCCATCTGTTCTATTATATCTCCCATTTTCTTTCCTGTTAAATGCACTAAGGAAATCTTTGTTCCGGAAATACACTTTGCCTGTTTTTCGACATCAAAATTCATTATATATTTAAACTATAACTGAGAATAGGGCTGTATTATCAATTTTAAAGCCGTGGATTCTTTGAAAGTCCAATCGAAATGAATTTCGCTGAGAGTTGAGAAAACTCTGTAGTTCTAATCCTTAAATTTGTAAATGAAAGCCAAACTTAAAGCAGTGTTTTTTCTTGATTGTCGCTTTAACATAGCTATTTCTCATTTAGCAAGCGGATCAAAACTTAAGGATATTAAATATTTAGTGCTGAAAAAAAATCGAAATTAGCTTGAATTACCTCGCAGCAATAGAGCTTTTTAAGCTCGAAGTGCATCCACTCTTCAATCTCGAGTCTTTTTCTGACCAATTTGATGTCATATTTCGCTGTCGCTTGATATTTCGCTTTCTGTACTTCTGTTGGTACATCAGAATTAAACCGCAAAACTTTCGTATCACTTTGGCCTGCAGACATTTCAAAACACTGTTTCTTAAATTCTCAAGCACGCTTTTTAATTCGACCGAATAAGGTTGCCTCTTCAGTGCGATTTAGCCTGCCTGTGACTAAAGCTGCTTCCAATCTCAGAAATTCGTCTGCTTTTTGAGAACAGAAGTTGAACGTGTTAGAGCCGATCGTCGTGTTTCGCTGGCCAAACAGCAAAGGCTCAAGTGAATAATGTGATTCATTGTGGTTTGTCAGTCCTGGTCAACTTTTATTCTTCGCGGGCCTCTTTTCAATCACTTATTCAAGATTCCGGCAGGTGCAACGAAATTAGAAAAAAACACTCTCATGTCTCCTGTGTATCCTGCATTGCTTTGATGTTTTTCATACCTTTAAAAAATGTATTTAGTCAGCGGGAATACCTGGCAGGGTTGATGGATCTAAAACCCGTGCCAAAAGGCTTAGAACACTAGCGACACCCCGTCCCCCTTGCAAATTTTTTTCGTACTATATGAATAGAGATTTAAGATAACGTTTTTCTTGTGACTTATATTATATTTGTCTAGACTATCAACACTTCTATGAGGGTGGGAGGGGAAGGGGTGGGAGTTGCAGTTTTTGGGAAAAGAAATGAGAAATAGAAACAGTGTATTGGGGGGGGGGGCGGTAGGATTTTTGCCCGAGTACAAAGGCATGCATATATTTATGAGCCTGTTGGTGATAAGGAACTTGACATAGGAATATTTACATTACGAGTTCTTTTTCACCGAAATATCTAAAGTAAAAATAGTCAGTTGAGAGTTGAGCAAACCAATCAGAGACATGTTTGGGGGGACATGCTATCCTTATCGATTCTTCTATAATGTCTAATGTTCAGATCTAAAAGTTTGATCGAAGTTTCTCATAGATAAGGGCAGCAATGTATGATATTTTCCAATATTTTACTTAATATCACTTAAACTACTATTATTAAACTCTTGAATTCGACTACAGTCAAAAAATGTGAGTCCCGATCCTTTCTATGTCCAAATGTATCAATCATCGCATTCATGTCACTTTTCAAAACTTCGTTTGAAAATTTCCTCTCGATGCTAAGTAGTGCCAAATTGCTCAGCCGTTCTTGGCCCATGGTTGATCTGAGATATGTTTTCAGCCGTCGAAGGCCACTGAATGATCTTTCAGCTGAGCAAGATGTTGCTGGAATCGTTGCTAGCAATGTTGTTTCATACAGGAATGGCAGTACTTGATGCAAACCTTCTTGAAACATCTTCTGGACAAGCATTGCTGCATTATTACCATAAGATTCAAAAGCGCTTTGCTTATTGTAATTTTCAAAAACCATCTTATCATTTTTGAGGCACTCTTGGTCGATTTGATAATGCAACGATATTGATACGTAGCTTTCAGTCTTTCGGTTATTTGAAGATACCACGAATGTTCAACCAAATTGCCTAAAGTAAGTCCCATCAGTTTTCAGTGTCATTTCTGTTTCCAGTGTCATTTCTGTCTGATTCGACTATTTGCGGAGAAATTTTGAAAAAATTTGCCCGACTGACATGGTTTACGAAAACTGCCGCCCCCCCAGCCCCCCTGGCCCATACGCTTATGAGTATGGCACAGTTGGAAAATGCTGCTTCCTATGCACCTATGCAGCAGGGTAGAAAGATGAGTATAGTTGTTGTACCTGTAACTGAACGCGATTAACAGCGAGCCTCAGTAGCAGTCGTCGCTTTCTCTTTTGCTTAGAAGCTGCAGGGATGCAAAAATTAAAATCTTTTAAGGGGATGTGACCGTTAGTAGGACAGACTCTCGAAAAGAATCGAATTAACTTTTCTCGGTTAATTCTTGGATGGTGATTGGCCGTTTTCCAGGCGATTGAAAGTTATTATTGGAGCTAAAGCATCCTTCTCTAAAAGAAAGGCCTTGTTTAGTAAGCTGCTAATCATGTCGTTGTATTGTACTCTGGGAAACTTCTATGTAAATGATATATCTGCTTTTTCGATGTTTCAAGCAATGGCTGCTTACAGTATTTTATTAAATTAACCACGAGGGGCATTAGTTTTGAACCAGAAATTAATTTTTTTCAAATAACGACTTTGTATATTTCAAAGAAATATAATTTCGAGGTTTCGAGCATAACTCTTCATCGGGTAAAAAGAAGAAAAATTAACGAAATATTAGTTTGTTTGCTTCTTTTCTCCAATATGGACTTGTAGTTTGTGGTTTTGCCTATGACATTCACATACATCCAGTCTTCTTATTGCAAAAATGAGTGATCAGAGCTATTGCTTTTCAAAGTTTCTGTTCTCCTTCCTCTCCCATTTTCTCTGACTTAAAAATCTTAAAATGACAAGACTTGTTTCGATTAAAACTTCTTTCCTTTGTTTATGAATGTATCAATAGGATAATGCCTGTCTGCTTTCACCGGTACTTTGAATCAATCAAGTCTATTCATCAACATGATACTCGAAAGGCTTCTAAGAACGACATTTTCTTAACTCAGAAAACACCCTTCAATGCGGCTTAAGATCCGTCCGTTTTTCTGGTGCTGAATCGTGGAATAGTATTCCTACTGCTATCAAAGAATCTGTATCATTGGTTTGTTTTTGTTTCGTTATAAATTGAAGTCATATCTGCTTGCAAAAAACATTGACAGCTAATCCTTGAAATTTCTCACGCTGTTTTTCACTTCCCATTTACAGAAATCGGATTTTCATTTTCAGTATTATCTATTATGAAATCTTTGAAGTGCCGAAATATCTTAATGTATAGGGGGGCCTCTCTCCACGATTAGCTTTGCTACTGAGAGAGTTCCTCCTTTAAATAATTCCTCATACTTACATATTCCACAGATAATTTGTGTTCCTTATCGTATTGTTATAATGATTGTTTGATATTTGATATTGCTGTATTTTTCTTTCGTATTTTGTGGAATGTATGTTGTGGAAATTTAAATATAATGAACCTGAACCTGAACCTTAATAAAACATTGTCTATTTTATAGTTCACAAATTGTACTGTGCCTGCTCAATGTCTTTGTGGAGCAACCTTTGAACGTTAAAAATTATTGCTTATCCTGATTTCCTATGAACCCTTTCTCTTTAAGATCCTCTCCTTGATGAAGCCCGGTATTTTTTTCGTCCCGCTTTGATATTTTTTTCAAATATGCAAACCTATCGATTCATGTTAGTTATGAATACCCTGCGGCCAAAACCACACACAGAATACACCCTATTCCATTGCCTTTTGAGGGAGCTTTTCTCAGTTTCGCTACGATGACTGAAGGCTGGACGGACACATGTCTCGATATCATTTATGACTCATATGATGCAAATTTATGGTTTGATCCAAGTTAGGTTATCACTACCCTCCCCCTCACCCCCCCCCCTCATCCAAAACTAACAGGCATAATGCCTTCTAAGCAGTTGAGAGTACCTTTTTCGCTGCCTCACCTTGAACGAATGCCGTAATGTTTGCGTGTCAGTAAGAAAAATCGTCTTGAGAAAGATACATGAATTTATCTTGTGTCCCTTCGCTGCGCTCTCGATGCTAACAAATACTTATATTTGTATTTTTGGGCATCACATGAAAGCAGTCAATGCAGATGGTGCTAAACAATAATCCAATTCAATTTAATATGTCTCGTGAATAAGCAGCTATGCATCCGCCTATCGTGACAGTGACAGGTTGGTCTTTTGAAAGTCTGATATGATTTATATACATCGATCATGTACGTTAAACATACTTACCGTTGCCTAGTATCCACCGATTTTTCACTGTCATTTTCTTATCGATATCACCTTAATGTGATGGATTATTTTTGACAAAAGCTATTTCAAAGCAACCAGACTCCGAGATTTTAAAAGTATTTAATAATACTCACTATCTCGGGGGGGTGGGTGGTGTTTGGGTGTCTTAATATGTTTGAAGGTATGGGGACGTGCCATTATTTAGGGGTAAATTTTCCTGAAAAGTGCGGAATTATCGGTACTAATTTTTGAAATTTGTGCGCAACTTTGGGTACAATTTGAAGAAAATGCAGAATTATGGGTACAATTTTGTGGAAATATTGCAAAAATATGACGAAGGAGATTTGGCATTCACAAAATGAATGTCAAGTTAGAAATAAAGGTATGAAAAATGTGTAATATTGATATTTTGGGGGCACAGGACATGCAAAATTTGGTTAATGATTTTTTATGTGCTTTAAAAAATTTATTTGCTCTGCAGAATAATTTGTATAGTTCTCATCACGTTTGCGGAATTATGGGTCACATTTTTTCAGACATTTGCGGGATTATGGGTCCAAAATTATAACCAAAATGGCACGTCCCCGTCCAAAATTAGGCATAGTTTTCCCCCCGTGCTCACTATACTTTGAAGACACTCCTTTGTTCAGCGTTTATCTTCACTTCATCGTTAGCAGTCAAAAGGTTTTTGACTTAAAGTCGCTGTGCCCAAGGTAACGGTTAAAGCCCTCACATCGATGGTTAAATTTTAGATACCGCATTATTTTCATGTTGCTAAGACACTTTGTTTTTGTACGATGGCCCACAAGGGACATGCAGCATATACTAAGCTCTGCACGTACACAAATTCAATTGTATGATCGCAAAATTTAACTGCAGCACACAAACCTCTGTAGCAGCGCCCACAAAGTTAGTGTTGCAGCACACAAAGTAGGACCTGCTGCATACCGAGTTGGTCAGGGACGCCGGGGAAGGGGGCCAACCCTCCCTGTTGCCTTTTGATAGGAGGGGCAAGGGGGGCCAGAGTGCCCTTTTCATTAAAGTGCCCTTGAAACCGGCCATTTGTAATAATCAGAGAGATTTATATGAAATTCTGAGTGTATTGCCTAATTCATGACGACATTTCTCAAAACTTGTAAAATTATTCCTTTTGCCAAAAATTAGCCAATGTTCAAGATAGCTACAGAAGATCGAAATAAATGGCAGTTACGAAGGAATAAGTAGGGGCTGGGAATTATCTTTCAAATGCTGCCCGACTTGCCGCTTGTTCGTTCTGCCGTCCCTTGAGATGGTGTTACAGCACACTAGGTTTGAGCTGCTGCATACAAAGTGTTCTTGTATGTTCGTGTTTCCGTCATATCTTCCATTCGCCATTTGCATTGCTTCCACGCTCGGGCAACATGGGGGGGGGGGAGGGGACCTCTTTAAAGCACTGAATATGAAACATGATTCTTCAATACAATTTTTTGGAACATTTATGTCGATGATGTTTTGACAAAGGTGGCCGGGGGGGGGTAATAATCCCTAACCCCCTGGCGCCGTCTCTGGATGCAACCCACAATTTATCTTGTGTGCGGGGGGTGACTTACCCAGTATTATAGTGAAAAACCAGTATTATTTTTACAATCTATTCAATGTTAAAAAACTTGAGTAAATTCAAAAGCATAACTTCTAAATGCATCTGAGAATTCTAAGAATCCAGCTATTCTGTAATAACCAGAAAGGAAACTGAGATCAATATTTTTCCAAGAATGAAAAACAAACAAGATTGTTTTTGTTGCCTGCAAAAGCGCGGATTTGGCAGAGTTGCTAGGCACATTCGAAAGGACTGCAGTTATAGGATAAAACAAAACATGCAGGATTATCCTAAGACGAAGAGATCATATCTCCGTTATATTATTCGGATATATTCTTTCTACTACGTATATTTATGAAAATAACGCTTTTTCTATCAAGCTATCAATAAATTTCTTAAATCTAAGCAATATCTCAGCATCCCCTTGAATAATGATCTGACAGATCTTAGTTAGCATCTCTGCTGCGCTTACCCGATATAGGTAGATTGATATAGGTAGGTAAAGTCATGATAAGCAGGGAGGTCTTCTTGTACATTCTTATCCAAAATCCTATTTAGTTACATCAAAAAGCTAAAGAAAATTAGTGTAGTTGCTACCATGTTGACATTGTCTAGTTTAATATCACTTCTCCATTACAATCTTTTTATTTTTATATGTAAACGTGTTAGATTGTTATAAACCTTTCCCTTAGTCTTAAGCGGGCTTCTCTTAACAACTAAAAAGAGAGCTCCTTCGAATGTCTCTGCATCAGTCTGCTGGGTTGTACTATTTTACTCAATGTTTAAGGGTGTAGGCAATATGACTGCTTCTAGGACTTGCGCTTTTTCTGTTTTTGAAGATGTTGGTGCAGCCGTCCTCAAGGCATAGCTTTCAAAAGCCCTAAGACTGTTTTCAGTTTAGAATGCAAAGAGTTTCACTAGCTTTATGTTCTCTAACGTCGATCTATTATTCAAATAACTCAAATAGAGTATTATTTTGTTTTCTGGCAGTTTTGAAAAATGTGCTTTAAATTTGTAAGAATTTCGTGTGAAACGACGATTAATAAGCTGCTTTCAGAATATCTAAAGGGAGTGGTCATAAATCATCTTCAAGACCCAATTACTCTCGGACTCCTTCCCATTTACCCCACCATAGCATAGTGGAATAATCTTTTGATTGGCTGAAGCGCTACCATTTTGAATTTATGCTTTGCTCCCCACCATAGATAATCTGCCCATGTATTTTTTCCTGACTTTGCGATGCATTGGACATTCAGGGGCTGCAAATACAGAATTTGTAAAACTTAACCGTTTTGAAATTTGGCGCCCAACTTTGAAAAGCCCCCGCGAAGAGCACCCTTGGGTCATCCAAGCACGGGCGATCATTAAATTTGTTTAGCCATCAGGTGGAGCGCTAATTCGAGGGGGCGCTCAATTAAGCCGGGCGCTTTTTGAGGTTATTACGGTATATGAGTTAACTTTTCAAAAAACTGTTCCCACCTCTCTAGACAATCTTGCTTAGAGGTGTGGCCTGATTCAGTTTGCCAAAGATATTGAAGTTACCTGGCAACGCTTAAAAGTGAGAATCGCCGTTAAAACCTATTTCTCGCTTTTGATAAAAAACCCTTGACTGTCATATCGTGAATCTGACACCATCCTTATTTGCCAATCCAAGATCTGTTTTCAATATCAGCAGATTTTCTCTTTTTTATCTCTCTTGATGTTTAACCCAACTGGTGGTAACACTTGTGTCATAAAGAAAGCATTATGAAGAATTAAAAATATATCTAAATTGATATCCTTTAGCGAGTCCGAAAGCATAGCAGACGTTCTGATGAGCATCTTAGTTTACTTCAGTGATGAGCAATCTTGACTAACTGCTGTTTCTTAGTCAGTTGGAAATGTTAGGAAATTGACGAAATATCAGTAGCCCTAAACTAGCTGTACATCATTGGAAGAATATTCTCGCACAATGGTGGCGATTTTCCTCTTGCCAAATCGCAGTGCTTTATATCTTCTTTATTTCTTTAAAAATGGCGTTATTTTCACATGAAAACTTTTGACTGGTTACTATTTTTCATTTTTCATTATTTACTAGAGCTGTTTGTTCTTTCATAAAAGAACTAGAGTTTCGTGTTGTTATGAGGAGAAAATATTGGTACTATCTCATTCAAAAGAAATAATAAATTTTGAATGTCTGTTTTTTTATTTTAATTTATACCTAATTTTGCGCTTTTCTCTAATCATTTTACTATGTATTTCATGGCAATGAAACCTATCTGCAAAAATTCTTAGTGAATTACCCAGTATTTTTCCTTCTACGGCTATCACTCAATCAGAAGTTTTGAAAGCTTTTGAAATCATATGTTGTTAGTATCTTCAAATACAAATTATTATATTTGATTTTCGATGCTTTCTTTATATGGAAATTCTATAAAATAAAAGAATCCTCAAAAATCAGTTAAGAAAGAAAGTAGAATGGAACTGATACGTAATTCAAGTGAAAATATAAAGAAGCAATTTTAAAATCTGAAGGTGCAAGTTACATAGCTTATGCAAGTTGTCAACAAAAAACCACAGAAAACTTATATGAATAGCATACATCAAAATACAATTTCGTTTTTATGTTTTCTAAACATTTTCAAACACGCCCTATATTAGAAGATACTGGTAATTGGCTTTTTAAGTTTTTTGCATTTTAAAATAATTTGATATATGACATTGCCATATTAGCAATTTTATCGAAACAATATATCTATCCAATACTTTATGACCTCAAACTTTAAAATAGAAAATCTTTGCCAATATATCTATTTTTCTTTGTGTAAAACTGAAAAACTACGATTCATTATTCTAGAAAATAGTTGCAAAGATTTGAAATGGTTTTTTTTGTTCTGTGTTTGATTAATTGTTTACTTGATGCGTGAATCTTTTGTCTGGTTAGAGAACCAGAAACGTCGATCATAGCTTGATTGAAAAGGCTGCTAGAATGACACAGTTGTTTTAATGGTACAGAATTTTGAAAATCTTTTAAATAAACGGAAATCCAAAATTCTGTTTAAAGTATAAAAAGTAAATCATTCTATTTTGTTATACCATTCATTCGACCTTGACACTATATTTTTCACAGCTTTAATTTGCAAAATATTTCCTTTCTTGCTGTCTACGTTCCTAGGATACATAGGTTCTGTTCTGCAAATATGAAATTTCTTTTGTTCGTAAGAAATTCTAATTATACTGCAGCCAATGAAAATCGTCGTCAAGTAGCACATTCATTGTTTCGAGACCTTAAATTAGTATTTTTGCTTTATATCTCTCATTTACGGCTGGCCGTGTGCTTAAGCTCGTTTGCTAGGTACGAGTATCAAACACAGTTTAAAGCCGTTGACAAGAAGAACCCTGACGAAATTGGAAGAAATTAGGCTCTCTTTTCTAATTTTCAATGCAGGGTCAAAAAAGGCCATTGGTTGGCCTTCTCCTGCTTTTTCTTACATCATGTAAGGAATGGGACACCGTTTTGACCACAAGGTAAGCTGCTTCATGTTGTATTCATTCCTTTTTTGTGCCATTGACTTATAATAGTTTTGGAGTATCTCAGATTAAAACTATAAAGCAAATTTTCATTAGTACATACAATTTTAAATTGATTTTAGTTTCAGCGTTTCGCTTATTCAAAAGTACCTTTTTTCCATTTTTGTTCCTCATAATTGTTGCGTAACAAAATGAATATGCCGCAAGTGTGCTGTTGTTTCTAGAAACCCTTGAAAGTCCCTCGACTATGCAATATGTTTCAAGTATATCAATAGACCTTTTTATACCTACAATTTCCCTTGTTGATCCTAATTTAAAAGCTATAAATGGCATTGGTAAAAACTTGATTTGCTAGTAGTTTGGTCGAGTACCTTTGCTAGTGCTCGTAGTACCTTTAAATGAAAAATATAATTAAACTTTTATTCTTGAAGCATTAAACTATTACTTCATGCAAAAATTCTACTAGAAAAATTAGTTTAGAGCAAAGCGCAAATGTTATATTATATGTTTGATAGCTAGAGTTGCATAATTCGCCTAAGTACCTACATAGTTCGCCTAGACAACTTTCTCTGAAATCTCAGTGAAATCTAACATATGAAATCTAACTTCGTTGCAATTTGGTATTGTCTAAATCTCACAGCCTACAATTGGTGGCTGAAACATCGGTAAAAAGTTAATCCCACTAACTGAAAAAGGTCTTGCCATATTTTTTCATTCATCATATCTTTATGAGGTAAAAATATAACCTTTTACTTTGTACGGGAAGTGAGTCAATGCCGAAAATGATTGTGACGAATGTGCGCATGCTCAGCAGGTTGAAGTTGCTAAGAGTCGTTAAGTCTCGCCGAGGTATTTAACACCTTGATCAAGGCCTAGACTATTGAACTAAGCAAAAATCCAGGCATAACTTGTTTTTAATTATATTTCTATTTCAGATGATGTTTGAATTTCCAAAACTATATTGTAGAATTGGTCGCTGCGCAATTTCAAAATCTCTAAAGGCTCTTACGGTTCACGTGTTCAAGAACGAGCACCACGATTTGATTAACTCCCTTAATAGATTAACACCCCTGGTCAAAGTTTTCCAGCTTTTTTACCTTACTGATTCTTCTACAAAACAAATAATCACATAATTAAGATTTCAAGATATTACATAACAGTTTATGAGCGTGTCAGGATAACCTCTATTCCCGGAAGAGGCTTTTATAGAAAATTTTATGTTATTCACAATTTCGATTGATATACATATATTCTTTTGCTTTGGTCTCTTGATTTCAATTTATTCGCTTAAACATTGCAGACATAATTTATGCATACATGTGCATAAATTATGTCTGCTTGTGTAATGAAAGATAACTGCTTATGTCACTGAATCTTAAATTAAGACAAAAAGGAGGGCTTGTACCTTGCATCAATATTTCTGCCTTTTGGATAAAGAATTGAAAAAAAGACTTTCGCCATTAACTGGAATTCATAGAGCCTCCAGTTTTCAGTCAACCTACTAATCGCGTATCCATTCTCCGACGTTATTGGCTAATTTTACAGTACTAGTCTATGATTGGTTGTTTTGTAAATGATCACATGCTGGCCGATGTTTCCATGGCAACAGCTAATCACTACAGACGCATTGTTCTAAGTGATCACAAGGAGCAAACTGATCACATGAAGGATTTCGTTAGCCAATACTTACGAATTTTATCATATAGGCTTGGATCTTTTCATTCATACTTGTGAACAGCAGTTCGTGCGCGGAGAATTTGCTCAAATTTATAGGCTATATGAAGGATAAGTTTGCGATATGCTCGTCTTTGTGAGATATTTGTTAGTTACAAAATTTGCAGTCAATTTAGGTTACAAATTCATCTTCCATGTTTAAAGTTGTGAAGTGAACTTAACTGAAGTGAAATATTCAACCATTTCTGAAGCGAAGTGAAATTTTGAATTAGTTAGCCGAAAAGTAATTTAAAGACAAATTCAAGTATGAGATAAATTGGAAATATTATATTATCCTGTATGAAGCAATTTATTTCACTACAGGATTAAGATAGCGCTGCCCCCTTGATAGGAAAAGCGTTCTCTGGTCATTATTATTTTGAGTCATATAAACTAGCAAAGAACTATCTCTCATTGATAGGAGCTGGGCTATGAAGTTTTTATCCAACCATTGCTTTATACACAATCATTCTCAGTTTGGCTTGTGTTGAAGAACAATTAGATACAGCAAGTTCACTATTTCTAGCAAACGTTTCATGTTAGAAAATTGAAGCATTTAATAACTCCATAATTTTTTTAAGTGAACTCAATTTGCCTAGGCAGCTCACAATTTGCTGCAACGGAACAGATGCTAACGTTTATAGTAGATCCATCCAAAACATTTATAAACGATGTTAATTACATTCAATATTGGATCAGAGTTGCTGTATGTATCAGGCGTGCCTTAGTGGATACTTCTTGCACCTATCTTACACTTAACACGCTTTTATGCAATTTTCACGCGTCCCAAGAATAACCGCACGCCTTGCGTCGTCCGCGGTAACTGCCCACAGTGCTCCTTTTTTGTTACGAACGCACATCCAGTGTGGATGTGGTTACCATGGTCGTTGTCTACCCGAAAAGAAAATTTTAGTTGTCCAACTTGCGTTACATTGTTACCTTACATTGGGTGTGTGACGTAAATCGTACCGATAAAAGTAAAATCATGCTTACGTCGAGAAGAGCGCCTAAAAGACACGCCTTCAACATACTGTCTTTACAGGTTACACAATACTTTAAGTTTCCAATTTTCAGCCAGTAGGGTTAGGGCTGGTGGATGGTCAGGGCGCTTTACCCTCCCAATTATCCCCCAAAAGTACTTAAGACCATATCATCTGGCTGTTGCTTCTTGGCATACTGAAAACATTTTGGCCTTGCTCCCTACTTTTACGGCAAAACATTGATGTGATGTGACGACTCATTTATAGAAACAAATAACTTTGAAGCTTTGTTTATTATTTTGCTTCATCGACGCCATATGAAAACTCTAACTCCTGCCAAGAATCTTCGTACACTTGATTTTTGTCAATTACCAATAGCATCCCGACTCCACTTGACCTTTTCATGCACTGCCTCTTCACCAGTAGTTTGACTGAATAGTAGATATGCCATTAGAGCACTACTGGTTAGATAGCTATAACGAAAAACTCTATAAACAACATTGCTTTACAGAAAAGGGTGCAAATACGAAAATCCTCGAGGCAACCTTGAGATACATTCGTGCCTCATGCTCTCTGCGGCATCGTCTTGTAACCTCCGTATGTCCTTGTAACATTTATTCGGATAGAAAAAGGGGTGCAAAGTTAGCTACTCTTGACCTGAAACTATTATTCCTCAAAAAGAGCACTTTGACCTGAAGCACTTTAGAAATTTTAGCAGGAATGGCAGCTTTTCTCAAATAATCGCTTCGAGCAACCTACACCTATCTACGCCTGCAAGGCGTGACCCAAGAATATCGAAAATTCAACTAATATTCCATTCCTGTAGTATTTCATATGATCTATTTTCCATATTTTCTATGTTTTTCCCAACATCTTTGTTGTAGTCCTCTGCTCGCTAATACATTAAAAGTAGTTTCGTATTCGAAGAGCTGAATTTCAGTTTTTTATCCTCTCTAGCCCCGACTACCTCGAATACAAGGATACACACAAAGAAGTTAATGGTATGATTCATTGATTGTTTAATATTCAGTCTAAAAACGATCTCGCAATAAAATAACTGTTGATAACGCCAAAGCATTCGATAATGTGCTAGTACAACTACACTCATTTTTTTATAACAAACTGACTATAAGAAACGAGTCCTGGACAGTCAGAAAAAGTTAAGAAACTCCAGTACTCGAAGCAAAAAATTAAGAAACTATTAAATCGTGATAAAACTGAGAACAACGAAATTTTCTAAAAACCAAGAACATGGTTGCCCTGTTGGTTGCCTAGAACTTAAGACATAAAGAATAAGAATATAGTTCCTACATCTAAATACAGCATCAGAACGGAAGTGAATCTCTTGACATGATAAAAAAGGGCATGAACATTTCATAACATCATTCATGACATCATAATTAAGAAACTCTTAAGAAACAATGAGTATTGAAATTTCCAGAACATTAAAAAACTGAAGTACTCAACATCGACCTTTGTTTCTTATAAAAAATGAGTGTAATTCAAAACGAAACAAGAAAAGTCTCAATTTATTTTGCTGTAGCTTATAAAAATATGCAGTTGTTTTATTCAGATAAATATTATTTAGAGTTAGGATGGAACATATATAATGTCTTTGAGAAAGTTATTAGGCATAAAATGTCTAGGTATAATGAAGCTCGTAGTTGTATTCTAAAAGCAAAGGCGCTTTTAGTGTTCTACTTTTAAATCTCATCTAATATAGACATTGATAAAAAATTTCATACAGCGCATTTATCTTCCTGTAGATATATATAGAAATCCGCAACCGAAGCCAAATCAGCAGAGTGAAGGTATCAATTTTGACTTTTCTAATTATTGTGCTTGATAAACAGCTAATAGAGTTTTTCATACATTGTAGGATTACATTAAGATTCCATTTTCTATTTTTCAATTATTTAAGAAGGCAAGATAAGATAATTTCTTCTCCATTCAAAAATCCTGTCTACATTGACAAGTTCCATCCTTCCTTCTAACTCACTCGCTCATCACTTAGCTTTCCCTTTTGCGAGTTTGAGGTTTTTGCTATCTCCAACACCCCTATTTATCCTGTTAATGAATATCCCGTGTCCCAATGTTTTCCCCACTTAAAGAAAAAGTGCTGAAAAAATTGATGCTGTTGACATGTATTCCTCAAAAGCCAGATACAGACTGTCCTTTGGAAAAATACGTTATAATTATTTTTGGTAAATGCGAAAGCTGCTAATAGATCCTGCCAAGAATGCACTAAAGTCGACATCTACCAGCAAAGTTCCGTAAGAATTATTACAAATCACCAGATTAAATGAATGGCCTCATCTCAACTTGGTTAGTAATCGATTCCGCCCATCCGTTACCTAGGAGATTATACGAGCCTCCGCGTATGCTTCAACTACAAACGTAGATAATATTCCTTAGATATTATATAAACAAATACTAAAAACATCTTATGTTTATCCAAAAACCTTTCTCAAAATTTGTTTAGTGGGCGGTTGTTTGTCAACGTTGATGTTTCTTATAACACGTTTATCAGGACTCATATTTGTTGATTTCAAACTTTCTGCCAGGCTTTGGTTTAAATCAATGTAATAAATGTTATTAAAACAAATGTAGAATGTTTATAGAATAATAATGGAAACTGAGTAAATATCTCCATGTAAAATTCTTTTCAAAACAAACAAAATTGATGAATCAAGAACCTCATCAGCCGAGATACCTCAAAATATAAAAGATATAATGGGAAAATAGGAATACGCTTAATATAAATTTAAGTCAGTGCTTGATCTTTCCGCCTATTTTTAATGCATGTTTCCAACGAGTAATAACAAGTGAAGAAATTTTAAACGCATTTCGCTTTCAAAAAGATAGAGTATGGAACAACGCTCCTTAAAGTTACAGGAGTGGTTTAATTTAGAATAATGGTTATTGTATTTTCCAAGAAGATTGTAAAAACAGAGATTGCGGCTTCCATGAAGGTAGCAAATGAGTTGATTATAGGAGAAAACGATTCAAGTCGTAATAACAGGCTCGTGAGAAATCCCCTGAATATTTAAGCCTGGCTGGGTCATTGAAATATTCATGATCGACGTTAAAAGCAAGCATTGTATAGAGGTAGACAAAGCAAGGTTACAAGGCCAGGCTCAGTGTAGCTGTGTCTTAACTGCTAAGGCGTCTTGGAAATACAGTCTTACATGCAGTCTTGAAATTGCTAAGAATTATTATAGAAGCTAATGAATTAGAATTGTTTTTCTTCATGTTGAGACAGAAAAAACAGCAATTCAGCTGAACACATGTCATGAAAGTTAAACTTCAAACTGAGGCTGATTCTACAGAGAGATTGTGACAAGGCTTCGCTACTTAATGAAAACTAAAACTGCGCTTCCTGGACCTGATAAGATTAGAATGGTACAAGGCTGTTTTCTCTAAGAAATGTCCCGTCTGTTTTGTTCGATAACAGTCTGCTGAGTTTGTATAAGTACATGAAAGGGGCTACCCTTGTAGTAGCTAACGGAGTATTGTTTAACCTTGACTCCTCTTGGATCCTGAAATCCTGAAAGATGGCTTGCAAAGAAAAATCTTCCTTAAAAAATTTGTGAAACTTCTAAAAGTAGCAGATCATAATTTCAAAACCATTCATTTTTAGCTGATGAGAACAGCGATGCAGCTCTGCTGGAAAGGATCAGACTTCTTGAAAAGAAATTAGAGAGCAAGTTAAAGAAAGACGCTCCCGAACAGCCCGCAGAGCCCGAGACAAAACGCGAAGGTAAGTTTTGGCCCTTATATACAGAGGCCATACAGTAGAGAATGGTTGATGTATTCACATTTCAGTCTTTCTGCATCATTATGATGTTTTCGTTAACTAATAGTTCTGTTATATTCTTCGTTTTGATATGATATAAACACCATTTTAAGAATCTAAATCGCGAAAAACTGCTATGCAACACGATAAATGTCGTTCTTTAGTCTTTGTTTTATTATATTTTCACACATAATTGCTAACTCTTTATGGTAACTTATTGATATCTTAGAAAATCACACAAGCTAATGATGAATTCCCTATTATCGTCATATAATAGCGATATTTTTTAAATGAAATTTTGAATTGCACTTCATAATATGTACGAGTAACTTCAAGATCATTGATGTGATCGCTTGTTGATACTTATTCTCTTGAAATTTCTCTTTTAAGTTGCTTGTATACCAAGTTGCGCTAATGGCGGTGTTTGCAAAAATGGCACCTGCCTTTGTCCAACGGGATACACTGGTCGAGACTGTTCAGATAGTAAGTTTATTTTCCCGCAATTTGATTTAGGCAACATTATGATGGCTGAATCTCAATCTTCTTTGTATTCCTGTCACAATCTTTTCTTTCTCCATTCGTTTTCCTATAAGCTAGCCTTTTCTAAACGGTGCTCCTTTCACGTGAAATAGAATGCCCCCCTTATCTGCCAACTCCTACTAACCAGCCCCCCCTCTCCTTCCACACCTGCTAAACTGTTTTTCAAAACCAATCAATTGTTAAGGATGTCTAATAATGTCAAATGAATAGGTCTTTTCTCCAAATAAACTGATTATGATATACTCAAAACCTCTCTTCAAGATTTTTTCTTCGCCGTTAATTATGTTTTTTGCAGTAAACTTGTAATTTGCAAGAAATTTCCTAAAGATACAAATTCTTTATGTTTATGAAATCCTTTAATGTTTTCTTTTGTAAACTTTTATATCCATTCTATCAAGATTAAAGATCTTATAACCACTCTATGAAGGTTTTCTATTCCTTCACTAGCCCTTGAAATTCATATAACAACTTAATGTAATGTTTTTGCTTTTTTATCCACAGAGGTCTGCAGCCCTGCTTGCAAAAACAACGGTATTTGCATTGCTGGCACTTGCAAGTGCACAGACTATTATGAAGGACCTTCTTGCGAGATAGGTTTGTACCTTATATCCTATATGTTACGAATATATTCTGTATCTCTGCCAAACCAATCCTTTGAGTCCCAATCAATTACAAGAGCAAAGGTATGATTGGTTGCAAGAACAAAGGGATTTTTATTGTTTCCAGCCCCCTTTCAGTTTATCGCATTGTAAAAAATATGGCGGAGCGCTGGAATCGTGTTTAGGCTATTGTTCCAGCTATTGTTCTCGTTAACCAATCCACAACGAGACAGATTGCCTTTAAGTCCCCTAATTCAACAACGGCCTAGACAGCCAGGGCTTATCAAAATTCAATTAAGCCAAGGGGTACCTTTTTTCAGTAGATTCTTTCAATTGATTATAATATTTGAGACATAGTGGTGATTTTCAAATCTATTTTTTTTTCAGCTAAATGCAGCACTCCTTGCAAAAACGGAGGAACATGCGAAGATCCTCTTCGTAATACTTGCAATTGTACACAAGGTTGGAGCGGCAGCCTCTGCGATAGGCGTAAGTGAAAAACGAAAATAATTTTTTTAAACAATGAAAATTCCATAGATGCAGGTAATGCTGCCTGGATACTAGGTCAACTAAGAAGCGCTCATGAAATCCAAACTGCTTTATGAAGCTACGTTCTTTTCCAAAACATCTAGTAAAACATTTTTTGTTAATATCTTACGGTACATATTAGAGTTTTTTGGACTTGCTCTTTTTTGCCTTCTGTCAGTTGACATCTATAGCTTTTCTCAAAACTGTCCTTTGATTTTAAGGTATGCTATTTCTGCCAAAAATGCTTTGAAAACAGAGCAATTTGCATTGTATCTTATATCTTTCATTTCTTATCCGGAAAAATCACTTTTTCCAACTCCTTTTTCTTAGAACAATATTGATACGTTAGACAAACATCATATAAGTAGCATAAAAGAAGATACTTCTGATCTCTTACGCTGTTCTATTGTAAACCAACATTGTTCCCGGGGAGAGTGGAATGGCTGAATTTGACCTTGCAAGCTGACATCAGAGTTCCAAGACTTTTGACAGGCGTTGTATGAAATGACATGCTATGAAAACATATAGCGATAAAATTGAGTTTGTGTTCCCCTTTTTCCAGATCTCGATTGCTTCAAAGTTTTGAGATAAACAAAGATATTTTTTATTAATTTTGTACTCTTTTTTTACAGCAATCTGCAAAGAACCAGTGTATTGTAAGAATGGAGGAAAGTGCCTTGGCTGGGATAAGTGCGAATGCCCTGTTGCATACCGAAGCAGAGATAACCCCCAATGTATACAATGTAAGTGGAGTGAACATGGCTTTTCTTGGCAGTTTCCACTTCTTCATATTTAGATTGCTATTAAAGACAAGATCCCTAACTCTTTATATAATACAGCCCACGTTTATGAAAACGAAATATTTCCTTTTTAAGGTCTAAGAATTCGTTAAATTCGTCATTTCATTTCATACACTATTTATTTTATTTATGTTGAGATTGATGCTTGATAAACTTTCATTTTGGTTCTTAATCGTTCTAACATCTTACATTTCAGCTAATTGTCTACACGAATGTATAAATGGTGGAATTTGCATCCTCAACAGCACAACCATGGCATTCGAATGCTCGTGTAAACCTGGTTTTAGTGGATCTCGTTGCGAAAAGGGTAAGGATTAGGCAATTGTTAATGCTTGAAATTAGCAATAATTTTGTCAATCTCTCAACCGTGTTATGGATTATTTGATTAAGATCATATTAGTTATTTTATTGTAAAACGACCGTTGACACTGCCTGATGAGATTGATAAAAGAATAAAGAAATTTAAGATGCAAGTTGCTTTACTACCCGGGGAGGGGGGCCACTCCCATGGGGAGGGGGGGGGGGTGAACTGATGGGATGTGCCGTGGACAGGGTATCCTTTTTGTACACGTTTCAGTAACAGTTTCTAATGGCATATATCATTAGATCTGGTTTATTTTAGCATAATTGTACGGTATTTTGGCATAATATTTATGGAACAGGGTATGCTTTTGGCAATTTTTTTATGGGATAGGGTTAGAGTGCAAAAGGCTTTCTTCACAGCCCTGTCACTTTCCTAGCCCCAGGTGTACTACTAACACAGAGTTGCATTCGTAACAAATTTATATCTACATTTTTCTTTCTTGTTTCAGAAAATATTTGCAGCATGCCACAAGACAAGGGAATCTGCAAAATCTTCCTTGAAGAACCTTTAGCCTTAGCGGAAGCAAATGCCCTTTCGTGGAAAGGAACTGAAGTTTCGAACAAATACTGTATAGACTATTTGAAATACGTAATGGCAAACATCCACTCGAAGTTTGGCATCATCACCTACACCCAGTGTACAGAATATTGCAGTAAGTTATTTTCTGTTTCAGACAGATATATTAGTGCCATGTTAATTGATTTTTGCTTTTTTTGGTGAAACAGTTCCTTGAGATATCGCCAAGTATAAACATCCGGAGACCTGCTTTCCATTTTTTTAAATTTTATGTTGTCAACAAGTAAGTGTTATTGGTATAAGGAAACTACTGAACTAGGTTCAGATATTTACAAGCCAATGCCTTCCCAATAGACAGAATCTTCTGAAATTTATCTAAGAATCAGATCGATTCAGATCATCGCGTGGCTATGTTTGCAATCCCTCTTGCTGCTTTTCAACATAGCAACTGTTTTCTTTTATTTCAGACAGTTACGAAACCAACAGGATCTGTGACAGGATTTGGAAGCCAGAAGATCTGAAACTCAGTTGCGAGGGCCAGACTCGTTATCATTTTGCCAATGGGAAATGTACTCAGTTTAAATATTTAGGTGGCCTTGGGACAAAGAATAATTTTCCAGATGACAAGGCCTGCATGCATTCATGTGGATGTAAGCTAAATACGTTTCAGCTAAAAGCATCATTCTTTTTGGCATAAAATTGAAGCTTAAAATTGAATGTTTTAGCATTATAAGCATTGCATATTTAAACCTTTATTATTTAGCATAACATTTCGAGTCTTTTCAACTAGTGTTTGTTGGAAAGCAACTTTTGTATGCTGTTTTGTTTTATGAACCTTCTATCTTGAGATTTCCTTTTCAGCACAGAATTAACCATAAATCTAGAGCTTCTTCATGCTTTTTTACTTAATCCTACTTATTATGTCTAAGAAGCATATTCGTAATTTCAAATGCCCCGTTTCCCTTTTTTGCAGCGACCACACCAACTATTGGAGCATCAACAGCCCCAATTCTGAAGCCATGTAAGTGACAAAATCAAGCATACATATTTCTGATTTTAACATTTGAGATCTTACAAATGTTTTTTAAAATGAATTGCAAGTCCAGTAAGTATCTTGTGCTTACTAGAACTATCCTCCCCCCCCCTTAAACTGTTTTCCCCAGAATTCTTGGTAAGGGCATAAACATGCACACAATTGGCATTTCACGTTGAAGCTCAATTTTTATAATTTCTTAAGTTGGCCTCCTTTAAAGCTTGGATACAAAGCTTATAACTTGGTCAAGGATCTGCCTCGCCACTGACTCTTTTGGTACTCTGAAGCATCTCTCTAAATCTGAAAATCTTAGAAGCTGCAAACCCTTGTTATCAATGGTTTTCTACTGGAAGAATCCTCCACAATTATACTTGTAAAGTACGCTACATTATTTCACAAACATAGTAACCCATACTTCCATATATATTTATACAATATGTAACATTTTTCTGCAGTCAAAGATACTTGCTATGTGTGGGGAAGAGGACATTACTCGACATTTGACGGACGACAGTACGAATTCAATGGAGGATGCTCATACGTCCTTCTTCATGACACTGAACCAACTAGCTCCTTCCGAATCATTGTTATCAATGATCCCAAAGCAAATTACAACTCCACCGTCAAAAGGAAGCTCAAGTTGACAATTGATTCAAAAGAGATTTACCTTGGACAAAAAATTGGCAACACATTTACAGTAATGGTTGAAAAAAAGCCAGTGACTTTGCCATACGAGGGAAATCCAAAAATCCGCCAAGTATGTGTCAGGTTCTTCTCATTCAGAATTTGTATTCAATGGTGCATTTTCAGAAAGTGTGCCATTTCAAAACGTCTTCGTGAAATTATTCGTGTCCATTCTGATACGACAGTAATTGATTTTCAACTGCATGGTATATCCTAAAGCTCAAAAAATTCGTGCAATGAAATTATAAGTGATTTCCTGAATGTTGCGTATTCAATTTCAGTGGTGTGTGGCAACAGGGATTTTGACCTTCCAAGTTAATGCAATCTTCATCTAACCATGACTAGCACCAATAACTGATCACTGCTTCCTAATCGCTAATGTTCGAGAAATATAAATTTGATTTTCGAGAGAGTTTATGCTGTCAAATTTTGTGACAAGATGACCCAGTCAGGTTTGCACAAGAAAGACCGAATTGATAAGTATGTGTAGTCAAAAATGCATGCCATTTAAAAAACAAACACAATTTGAAATCATTTTAGGCTGGACGATATGTCCTGGTTATAACCCAAGAAAATGGTATTGTCTATTGGGACGGTAAGGAAGATGTTATGATCAAAGTTCCTTCATCATTCAAAACTGCACCAGGATCAAATCATCGTCTCTACGGTCTCTGTGGAACATTTGATGGAAACAAAGACAACGACCTTCAGGGTATTGGCTCTAGCGCAGTCTATACAGACGTAAAGGAATTCGCCAAGCTTTGGTCATATGACAGTGCATGCGCAGAGTCGACGACCGCAATTGCAACGTACGCACCTAGAGGCCAAACAGATGCTTTAGCAAATGCAGAGCGAATGTGCAGTGCGATATTGACTGATGCGTTTGCAGCCTGCCATGCTAAAATCCCTGTTCAGGGATACCAGACAATGTGTATGAAAGATGTACTTAAATGCAATTACAACCTAAGGTCTGACTGCGTGTGCAATGCTTTTTCACTATATGCCAGAGCTTGCCAGAAGATCGCTAACGTTACACTTTCATGGAGAAGTGCAAGTCTTTGCCGTAAGTTCCTTAAACTAAAAAATCCGACGCAACATTAAATTGTTCGCCATTATAACAATCGCTTCTATCTCATTTAATACCTTGTACAGTTGTATTTATTTGATTTCATTTCTTCTGTAGCAATATCCTGTCCTGGAAACATGGTATACCAGGAGTGCGGCAGCGCCTGCCCAAAATCCTGCTCTAACATGCTTTCATCCCACACCAGCTGTGTCTCTGATTGTGTTGATGGTTGCCACTGCCCCAGTGATCTCTGGCAAGATGGAGAACAATGCAAACCCCGGTCACACTGCAGTTGTTACGTAAATGGCGTCGCTTACGCACACAATTCTATCAAGAAAACTGCTTGCGAAGAATGGTACGCTTTAAGACATATCTTAAATTTTTCTCTTTTAACAATTCTGTCAATAAAACATCTTGTGAAAAATGGCAGGCTTCAATATTCTTTAAGAAAACTGCTTGTGAATAAACGTGCGCTTTAAGACATATCTTAGATTCTTTTTTTAAACAATTCTATCAAAAACTGCTTTTGAAGAATGGTATGACATGGTACGCTTAAATTCTTCTCTTTTAATTTGATCTTTTCAATAAACGATTTAGCAATTTCAAGCGGCATTGCGAAATGAGACGAAAATTTACTTACCCAAAGCCCACCTACCAAAACAAAATCTTCTTTTGATACGTATAGAACCATTTTGAACATAGCAGGAGCCTTTCATTCACAGCTTTAAATACATCATAAGATTTTTGTTCTGATTAAGGTAACACCCATTCATTTATATTGTTTAAAAGCACGATTTTTTCCTTATTTTAGTGAATGCAAGAGTGGTCTGTGGAGCTGCAAAAAGCTTCCTTGTTCAGGTATATTTCTGATAACAATCTCCATCCTGACGCCCTAGATGTTTTGTAACCATAATTCTTTTTTTGTTTTTATCGTTTACTTGGTGCATAATTAAAAGGGAAATATCAAATTTGTTGGGAATAAAGGATCAAATCAAGTTTTGTTCAAATATTTTTTGGAGTGAACTTCATATTCTATGGAATCATATAAAAGTGAATCAATTTTGTTAAATCAATTCCTACTGCTTGAATTTAACACGAACAAGTTCAATATGATGAATTAATCTGAAACTGATTGAAAAGCATTCAATGTAGCGCCAGTTAAACCTGCAATTATTATATCTGTACTTCTTTACTTATCGCGTTAGGTTTGTTTTCAGGAGTTTCAAAACTTGTTATTACTTTTCTAGGCACCTGTACCATTGCTGGTGATCCACATATCACAACATACGACGGTAAAACATACTCAATGTATGGGAAATGTGCTTATACACTCACTGAGCATTGCCACTATAACAATGCCACTGGAAAGGTCTTTGAGGTCATTGTTAAGAACAGTAACTGCCAAGAGAGCAACGGCTTTGCAACCTGTGCAAGAATGTTGATAGTCAAGCTGTTGAAAATAAAGGTTGACATCCTATTGACCTCTACAAAATTGTCTACTGGTCAATACATGCCTTCAGTTAGCGTTGGCGGCAGAGATGAAAACTGGGCCAAAACCAAAGACTACATGATTGAGCGAATTGGCAAGGAGAATGTTATCGTCAGTCTATCTGTTGGTTTAAGAGTACAGTGGACTGGACGAAATGCCTACCTCACTGTGAGCCCATCCTTCGAAAATAAGACATGCGGTTTGTGTGGTACGTTTAACCACAACTCACAGGATGATTACCACACAAGGACAGGAAGCACCGAGGCATCAGTGAAGTCATTCACAAACCACTGGGTCTATAAGGATGCGTCTATCAATCAGGCTCCTACTTGCAACAGCTGGGATGAAGAAATCTCCGCATGCAGCATCTTTACATCAAGGGAATCCAGTGCCAAGACACAGTGTTCAGTTATCAAGGATACAACCGGCCCTTTCAAGCTTTGCCACAGTGTCATTCCACCAGAGTCCTTTTACAAGATGTGTCTTGAGGATGGCTGTAAATGTGAATCTTGCCTTTGTGACGTCATTTCAAGCTATGCTAAAATGTGCATGGATAAATCAATTTCCGTTGGTGACTGGAGACCAAAGACGACAACTTGTCAAGCTAGTGAGTTTGTCTTTATCAGCGTTTCTGTAATCAAGAAGATTCTGTAAGACCATGGATATTGAAAAAATTCTCACTAAGTCCAGATTAGCATCCTTGCTTTTTGAAAATAAATCTGCAAGGTTTCCACTTCATGTTTTTGCGCCATGTTGTTCTTTTGTCCCATAATTGACAAGCTATTTAAGACTACGATAAAATTACAACAACAAAATGCAAACTTTGTATTTTGATAATGTTCATACCCCAGGAAAAAGTATAAATTTAATTCTATTTGTTTCATCTTGCATAAATAAAAACTAAGAATTTTTCAATTTTCTTCTACTAAGCACGGCTTTGAAATTAGTGCTTAAAAAATCTGGTACCCTTTTTTTTTGTAAAAGAGATTTGATACTGCTTTGCCATGGTAAGAAATTAAAAATCAACTTGTAAAATTAACTTTTCTATTTTTGTCTGAAGTGTTACAGTGCTCTGGGAAGAAAGTACGAAAGCAGTGCAACAGGAATTCAAGTGGACATCTAAAGTGCCCACAGACCTGTCGCGATCTTACCCTGAATGATACGTCAAGCTGCATCAAGTAAGATTTCTATTTGCTTTCCTCTGATTACATCCTATATGCAAACCTTTTTATCAACGTCCCTTTTTCTCTGCAACATTTTACATTGACTCGTTTTTACACTTTCTCGCTTTATGAATGGTATTTATCTCATTTATTCTCAAAGACCCAAAGTCACTGTGAATTGATTTTTTGACCGCTGTTGGTTTAACGGAACGCATTAAAAAGCGTTAAAATATCAGTAATTATCAGCGACAGAAAAATTCTGTAGTATGACGTAACACGGTGTATTTTTCAAACCAGACGTGGCTGCATTGAAGGATGTTATTGTCCAGATGGCTATTATGAGAATGATCAACAAGAATGTGTAGAACAAAAGCAATGTCCCTGCTATCATAACAATATGATGTACAGTTATGGCAACGTCCGCAAAGACAAGTGCAATAACTGGTAAGGTGCCTTTAACCCATGTCCTAGATTTCTTTTAATGGATTATAGGTCAAAATTGTATTTTTAAAATGCCCGTATACTCTCTTGTATCTAAAGCTGGATCAACAAGATTGCTGAGACTTCAGACGAGTTTACAACTCTTGTTTGTCACCACAATGAGCAATCGCTTCTCTTTACAAAACTTCAATCTAGAGCTAGGAAGATTATTTGTATCGATGCTAGCAAATTTTTCTCTGCTTGCATTTTTTAATATTTAAACATGATTCGCCTCATTTCCTTATATGTAAGTACTTTATTTTTACTTTTCAACTCCAATAATACTTTATTTCTACGCATTTTGCTTGATATTCATTTATTTTAATGACAATTGACAATTTTAAAACTCCTGTAGCAACTTTTCTTCTAGAGACTGTATCACCCTGCTATAATTATAGAATAAGGCTAATTATGAAATTGTAGTAATTTTGAAATTTTGCTTATTTTTTCCATAGCACTTGTGTTGGTGGTGTTTTCCAATGTACCAACGTCAACTGCGAAAGTGAGTTTTACAGTTAGATAAATTTCAACTGATTCCTTTACATCTGCTATCTATTAGCAATCACGCCCCAGGCAAACCTGAATTGTATTTCAAATATTTTTCAAGTTTTTGTCATTAGATTTTAAGTAAAATAAAAGTGTGCATCGCTTTGCAAGCAGTGATTGTTTAGGAAAGTATTTGTCAACCTTTTTTTTATCCATTTCGTTGAAAAAATAACGATGCGCCCTACTAGCAGATGCCACAAAATTGGATACTAACAAAAACGAAGCAGCGTGAACAGGGTTAGGTTGTAGGTTGAAGCAGTTTCTTGATTCGCATGTAGAAATAGAATGAAGATTCTCAAAGTAACATGGTTCTTAAAATTCTGCTCTTTTGCTTCCCAGCTTTCTGTAAGGCCAAAGGCTTGGTGTACAGCGATTGCGGTCTGACTTGTTCAAACATGCAAGACGATACATCAGTCTGTGAACCAGGCTGTTTCTGTCCTGATGGTTTTGCTCTCCACGAGAATGGAACTTGCGTCGATCCTGAGGCAGGCTGCCAGTGTGTAGAAGGCGGCGAATTCTACAACGCTGGTGATATTTCACCTTCGGATTGCTCAAGGTATGGTTGTTCATTGTAGACAATTTGAGTCTCGTATTCTTTTGCCGATGTGATGGTGTCGTAGCTGCCAAATTAGTTAACAACGACTAGCCATAAAATGATTTTGTCATCACCTTTGTGGCTTCAGGAGCTCATGAGGGATCATGTTTATCGATGGGCGTATTACTCAATGAAAACCCTAAGTAAAAAATTGACATCTGAACAATCAATATTAAAACAGATAAATCATGCATTCTCTCAAAATATCTGTATGCTGAATTCCACTTTACCATTCTTGGAGATTTGTTTCTTATTTTTATTATTTATTCATTCATGATAATAGTTTTGATGCACTCAAAATATGCATCAATGGATTTGCACTTTTTAAGGGTTGTAAATGGATCAGAAGTTAACTGCTTGTTTCCATCTAGCTGCTAGATAAAGAATTTTCGAAATTTTTTGATACACAAGACAAGTTCATGAATGCAACGCCAGCCTACTATTCTCTAGCCTTGAAAGAAGACATTGTTAGACATGTATATTGACATAACATGCGCATTAACGTTCATTTTAGGAAATGCACAGGAATGCGTGTATGGGAACAAATTCCAAACACAGAAGCAAAGCCACAGTATGACTGTGCTGCCTTTGGAGAACTACATTACCGAACCTTTGATGGGAAGATGTTTAAATTTGACGGGCAGATGGTGGAATACGTGTTGCTGACGGACTGTTTTATCGCACCTGGAAAAATGTGTGATATGTCAAAAGCAGCCATCAATATCCGCGTGAAAAACGTTCGATGTGAACAGAGCTATGATCAGTACATGTGTAAACAGGTAACAGTGGAAACTAAGACTGGAAAAGCTATAATGCGACAAAAAGAAGTCAAATTAACAGTTGACGGAACAACTAAAACTTTTACCGAAGGAAGTTACCCTCAACCCCTCACCAACGTTGGTGGAGGATTCGAAGTTTTCAAGGTGAATATTCACTTTTTATTGCATAATTTTGATAATTTTCTCAAAGACGAGATATCTAGACTCGTGTTGAGATAATGAGAAATTACGTCTGTATTAAAGGCATTGAGTCATGGTAAATAGGCCTTCTCTATAGGGGGTCATTTGGTTTCGGCGTTATCGTTGCTGTTTCACGTGATATTGGCATCCGCTGTTGACAATTTGCTATTGATGGAAACTGTTTTGTAAATCAGTGCGAGGTGAGCTCATGTGTCCAGTTTAAGGTCAACCAATAGCATCGCAGTCATGAAAATCGTGACTCAGCGGATTTTGGCACTTTGGGTATACCCAGTCCATTTTATCATGATTCAATGCCTTTAATTATAAATGAAGTATTGCTTGATAAGAAGTGTAAAAATGGGCAATTGTACCGTTTTTTATCGTGACCTATATCGATGTCTGTTTTCCTTTATGGACATTTACTGCCTATTTTTCCGAATATGGAACTTTAAACTAATCAAGATATTTCTCCATAATTTTAGCTCGGTGTATTCATTGTGGTCCGTGTTTATTCACTTGGCTACACAGTCAAATTCGACCAGTCCTCCCGTGTCTATGTAGTGCCACCAAAGAGTTATAAGGGTAAAGGGTACTTGGCTGGTTTGTGCGGTGATTACAACGGTAAAGATGATGACGATTTCAAAAAACCTGATCTCTCTATGGCTGACAATGCGCTTGCTTTCGCTAACGCTTGGGGTGACCAATCTGGCTCAGCTACGGATAAGGATTCTTGTTCTACCAATCCGTATCGTAAACCATGGGCACAAAAAGGTGAGGACTTACTTTTACTAGCAGTGGCGTAGTCATCAGTAGTAAATTCACCGACAAAGACGTAGATGAAGAAAGATTTGAACTCACGAAAATTTGGGGGATTTAACAATTCGCTATACCCTCTGCTAGTTATTTCCCTGGTTGCTAGTCAAATTTTTCTCGGGGCTAAAAATCAAATTTTCATGGCAATTGCAAAAACCTACCAAACTTTCCGGTATTTCCTTACAAATTTGGTCTACCTTTTTAATGTTAGTTTAGCTTTATCTAATGTAATTCTAGCGAAAGAATAAAAGCGTGCATTAAAGTTCATGAATAAACCTATATCTTCCTGATTATTTTGGTATTGGAGACCTGTTGCAGAAAAAGTGGCAATAAAAATGCCCTTTTCTCGAGAAGCGACAGAAATGGCTCTCTTCTTTAGCTCTTTTTAACAGAAGACAAGATTTTATTGACAGAAACGAGCGGTGTTATTGTTACTTGCTATTTTGAAACAATGTGTCATGTTTACTGATGGGATGGATGTCTCTATAGCAAGTGCGTAGCCTTCAAGCCGCGTCATGTTTTTCCTCAATCTTTAGAAAGCTAATTCTTCTTATTTTATCCTGCAGGCTGTAATGTCATCAAAAGTGCCAACTTCACTGCCTGCCACAAAGCAATTGCTCCAGGGCCATTCATAGAAGCTTGCCAGCAAGAAACATGTTTATGTAAATTTGGAGGGGATTGTGCTTGCTTTTGTGCTGCGGTTGGTGCCTATGTTCAAGAATGCAACAGAGTTGGTATTCCAATTTACTGGAGAAGAGAAGGGCTTTGCAGTAAGTATTCGGTGCACTTATAATTCATGGAGCTTTAAACGCCAAATCGTTTTAAAATACTGACAACACTTGAACGGTTTCCTCTAGATCAGTTAAAAATCTTGTAGAATAATATGAAATCTAAAACGGAGATGATCTTATAAAAAATGTCATTAATATTCTCTTCATTATTATAATTTGATAAGTTAGATTATTTTAAAAAGCTGTAGAATCCCATTCATCTGAAGAAACAATGATTACAATGTCAATAGACAACATCGGAATTTTGAACAAAAAGTGAACTTGAAATTCAAAATGTTTAAGTTATGTTATCATGGATTAGAAATGAACTTTGGAATGACAATGACTTCATGACTGCAGAAAACAGGGTTAGCAATATCTTAGTATTGTCTTTTAGAGCTTGACTGTTGCACGCCATGTAACCATTCCTATGGCTACTTCCCTGACAACGCCATGCCGGAACCTTGCAAGAAAAAAGACTGCAAAGAAAATGATCGTTGCTGTAAAGGAGCAATGATTGAAGGTTGCGGATGTCCAAAGGGAACATATGATGATGGCAAAGTCTGTAAACCACCGACAGCATCACCAATGGTGATTTGCTCTACGGTAACAACTGTCTTACCATCAACATCCACGCCAATAACGACACCGGCGCCTTCATCTACGTCAGTCTCATCTTCAAGTACAGTAAGTTCACCAACAACATCAATTTCACCATCTTCTTCAACAACTCCTCCATCATCTACACCAACCTCTATTTCAACTCAACCTCCTACTACAACACAACCACCAAGTACAGCACCTCCACCAACAACATCAGTGTCACCACCACCACCAACAACATCGTCTGTTGCACCACCACCACCAACTCCTTCAACATCAGTAACATCTCCACCACCACCAACAACATCTGTTGCGCCACCACCGACTCCATCATCTTCTGTTCCTCCACCCCCAACTACAACGCTGCCACCAACTACAGCACCTCCACCAACAACATCCGTGTCACCACCACCACCAACAACATCGTCTGTTGCACCACCACCACCAACTCCTTCAACATCAGTAACATCTCCACCACCACCAACAACATCTGTTGCACCACCACCAACTCCATCGACATCTGTTGTGCCTCCACCACCAACTACAACACAACCACCAAGTACAGCACCTCCACCAACAACATCAGTGTCACCACCACCACCAACAACATCGTCTGTTGCACCACCACCACCAACTCCTTCAACATCAGTAACATCTCCACCACCACCAACAACATCTGTTGCACCACCACCGACTCCATCGACATCTGTTGTGCCTCCACCACCAACTACAACACAACCACCAAGTACAGCACCTCCACCAACAACATCAGTGTCACCACCACCACCAACAACATCGTCTGTTGCACCACCACCACCAACTCCTTCAACATCAGTAACATCTCCACCACCACCAACAACATCTGTTGCACCACCACCGACTCCATCAACGTCTGTTGTGCCTCCACCACCAACTACAACACAACCACCAAGTACAGCACCTCCACCAACAACATCAGTGTCACCACCACCACCAACAACATCGTCTGTTGCACCACCACCACCAACTCCTTCAACATCAGTAACATCTCCACCACCACCAACAACATCTGTTGCACCACCACCGACTCCATCGACGTCTGTTGTGCCTCCACCACCAACTACAACACAACCACCAAGTACAGCACCTCCACCAACAACATCAGTGTCACCACCACCACCAACAACATCGTCTGTTGCACCACCACCACCAACTCCTTCAACATCAGTAACATCTCCACCACCACCAACAACATCTGTTGCACCTCCACCCACTCCATCGACATCTGTTGTGCCTCCACCACCAACTACAACACAACCACCAAGTACTGCACCTCCACCGACAACATCAGTGTCACCATCACCACCACCACCAACATCGTCTGTTGCATCACCACAACCAACTCCTTCAACCACCATTGTTTTTCCAAGTCCAACTAGTACGTTTGTGTTCCCAAGTGTATCATCTAAACTTCCGTCGTCAAGCATACCCTCATTTTCGAGTCGTCCCTCGTTGTCTTCGTTGTTAACCTCTACCATCGAGTTGCCGGTTAGTGCGTCAAGTAACGTTCCCGTTAGTTTGAGGACAAGTATACGATCATCGTCCGGTTTATTCTCAGGTTATACCCAAAGACCATCTTCAATTTCTATGCCTCCGTTTACTTTTCCGACTCCTGGTCTGTCATCTTCTAAATCCATTCCTACGGTAAGTAGATTTTATTTCGGTTCTTTTTCTGCTATTTTGGTTGATCTTTTCCATGCGAGGGCTGCACTTTCTATTAATTTTGCTTAAATTCTTTTATGCCCCATTTGCCATCGGTTCTCATGAAATCATTGTTGTTTTAAAAGGAAATATGTTATCTTTTTTATTTTCTAACTTTTTTCGAGCTTGACACCTGCTAAACATTTTATAAATCAATGCATGTCCTACCAATTGTTCTTACTTGCATCCCTTTTCAACACAGTCATTGGTTCAATGAATTATTCAACACAATTTGTCAGACATAAAAATTTACAGTTTTTGCTTTTAGAAAGACTTCCAGACAAACACACTAAAATGATAGTTATTCTGCAAAGTACTTAAAGTCTATTTTTTGGCCCTCCTAAAGGGTTTATTGTAGCAACTTATCGGTGAACGAAAGTTTCGATCTAGTTGTGGATCTAAAGCCATTTTCGACGAAGAATCCCACGTTTGATCGGTACCTTACTTCTGAACAATTTTGAAACGCTAAAAAGTGCCTAGTTGAAGAGTTTGGAAGTTCTTTCATTATCTGATGTTGGGTACTTTAAAAAGCACCCTACTAAAAGATCTTATAAAGTACAATACTGTATAAAGTCTATGTTGCGGGATGTTCCCAACAATCCTACAATCTTGAAACATTATGTTATGAAAAACCTTTTAACAATAGCTATGTGTTTATTATCTAGACCTCTGTCACCATGAGTTAGTGCATTTTTAGCAAAAGCATGTTGTCTTGTTTGAAAAAAGTTTATAAAAGATCTACTCACTATTACAAGGCACCTTGGTGTATCCTCTAAACGTTGTTTTGAATTATTCTTAAATTTATTCAATTTGCTTTCCGTACAACCAACATTAACAAGTAGAACACTGTGCGAAAGATATATAGGCTCGTCACCAGACTGGTGCACGCGCAAAAATCAGGTTCGCTAGTACCGCTACAAAGACTATAGGTGTAAGAATTTGTTCATTTGCAACCATTCAATTAACAGCATAAAATAGCTTACTATTTTGTAAAATAGTTACATATAATTTTGTTCATCAAATACTTTTAATCATGTAAAGGGGATCTTTAGAGGGGAAACGAGCCACTGGGCTAAGGGGGGGGGCTGCAGACCCTAACATTTGAATTTTTTTTAAATCAACCTCAATCGGATAGTAGTCTTCCCTTAGACCGACAAAAAGTTTTGTAAACAATGGAACATTTGTCAGGCAACCCCCTAGATTTTTTCTTCCCGTATGCTTATGCCATCACAGGCGACCACGTGTGGATTTTCGGAGATGCATCACTATGGCGACGTTTGGTAAATAAAAAGCGATCTGAAAAAATCCCTTGTTTCAAAGGAAAATTGAATAACTTTCAAGTTTTTTCTCAAAGTCTTAATGTTCAACGCTTGACGGTGCTGCAGAAGTATTGCAGTTGTATTTATATCAAAACAAAAGACACCAAATAAAACAATATTTTACCCCACCTGGAAAATACAGTCTCAAAATGAACCGAACTCGCTTTTCGAATACTGCAACCAAACTTAAAAATATTTGCAAAAATTTTCGCATTTAAGCCAAACAACGTTAGAAAGTAAAAATATTGATATGACGTCAGCAAATCGTTTTCCCGCATATTTTAGGCAAACCTCGACTTTCGTCTCCTCTTCTTCAAACTTCAATACGAAAGGTTCAAGATTTGACTAGTGCACCAACTCATGACGACGGACCTCTATATGTATTTGTAATATAACTTTATTAACAGAGCCAAAATAACAGAAATCTGTTCGCAAATAACAAATCTTTCACTGGTCATATCTCACCCATATCATCGATTTCAAGTATTCCATAGTGTTGTCATTTTTTCATTTTATAATATTTATACAGGTTGAAGGTTCATACATATATATTTTTCAACCTGACCTGTTTAAAAGATTAGAATAAGCGCTAATAAATATGTTATAATACTAATAACAAAAGAAATTTACCAACCTAACCTAATTTACAATATTTATTAAAACTAAGGGTTCTTTTAGGTTATGTGGTAAAAATTCAAAAATTTTCAAAATATATATTCTTATATGACGTCACAATTAAGCCCTTTATCAGATTTCACCATTACAATTTAGAATGGCAATTAAAGTAGGAAAGAGAGTTTGTCAAACTTTCGAAATGCGCCCATTTCGCCAGCTTTTGTTACCAATTCAAAAGCTTAATGATAGAACAAAAGTTCCAAGACACACACAAAACGAATTGTGCCATTTCCTCCTAAGAGATATTTTCATATAACGTGTCGAATGTGCTACTCTTTTTTGGTGTCGAATGTGCTACACATGTCAATCCCTGCCATGTGGGTTTTTTCTCGATATACTTGAATTCTGGCTATGAGCCATCTTTAGGCCAAAATTCATGTAAAAGATACCATGATATTGTCAATATGCACTTTTCTTTTAGCGACAAAATCTTCTATGACTTTGTTCTCTTTAATACAATTTCTGACAGCAATTTTTTAATTATTAATAGCAAAATTTTTAATTGCAACGTTGACCTTTCCTGGCTTTGGTAAAGAGACTGAAAGTCCGTCTCCTCGCTTTCTGTATGTTTTGCGAAAACCTTGCTAGTCAGAAGAATTTTCAAACTGCATCAGAATCATAGTTTATCAATTTTGCAGATGCATTGTCATTTCAAGCTGACCGATTATCGTTTAACTTTTTGAAAACTTTCATCACTTCTCCTTACGTGAATTAGGGAATCTAGTTTTTGTGGATTTCCATCAACGATTATAACTTTTTGATTCTGATATCTTTAAATTGACTTTGAAAATTGTTATTTAAAGTTTTGTAAATTTTTTTAATGGATTGTAAATATTTTTCCCAATTACGTCATTTTTCTAAAGATTCTAGAGTTTTTTTGTAGATAGCATGTTTACAACTATGAACACTTTGGCAAAATCTATGATCAATTCATTACTCTTTCGTCAAGATTTTCTTCCTTCATTTCCATTCATTGCTCTTAAACTTTCTTAATGTCCAAAGTCTTTCAGTTCTCATTTCAATTTCTTTGCCTTTTCGAAAAAAGAATAATATTATTTACTCCAAAATCATAGCAACTTAGCATTAACTAACAACACATTATAGCCCACTCACTTCAAAGTAGGTATTCTCAAAAACATTTTCTCGCAGAGCACCATCACTACTGAAGTGGTAATTAGCAAGTCAGAAACAAGACCCCCTGGAAGCAAAATAGAAACGACTGTAGTATCACCACCACCTCAAACAACATCTGTTGCAACACCACCTCCTCCAACAACATCTGTTGCACCACCTCCGACTCCATCAACATCTGTTGTGCCTCCACCACCAACTACAACACAACCACCAAGTACAGCACCTCCACCAACAACATCAGTGTCACCACCACCACCAACAACATCGTCTGTTGCACCACCACCACCAACTCCTTCAACATCAGTAACATCTCCACCACCACCAACAACATCTGTTGCACCACCACCGACTCCATCAACGTCTGTTGTGCCTCCACCACCAACTACAACACAACCAACAAGTACAGCACCTCCACCAACAACATCAATGTCACCACCACCACCAACTCCTTCAACATCAGTAACATCTCCACCACCACCAATAACTTCATCTACTAGAGAACTTCCTGTTAGTGTATCTTCGAATGTTCCGTTAAGTTTGAAAACAATCATTCCATCGTCATTTGTCACCAATTCGTTATATACACAAAGAACTTCTTCGATAACCTTCCCTTCGTTCCGTCCACCACCATCAGTGCATTCAACATCTGTATCCGTCTCAAGTGTAAGTATTTATATCTTTTTACTACTTCATCCGAATGATTTCAATAGGATTATTTTGTTGATGGCAGTTGGTCCTTTTTGTTAAGTCTCGCTTGTTTCTAATAAGTAATGCGTTAAAGGAATGTAATCTTTTTTGATAAAGTCTTTTTAATATTGGAATGAATTGAAAGAAACTACTTGTCCTTTGACGCTGTTTTGCTAGTTTTGTGCACTCTCTATTCCATCTGCATTTTCACTAAGTTCTGAAGTAGGAATTTCATTGCGTAGTGATTAAGCCATTTATTTCGTTTTGGTTCCCCAACGGGTAGTAATCAATAGATCAAGTCTTCTGTTTGCATTAGCCTTTCCAGATAGTTTTTTGACAAGTCGAATCTAAATAAAAACTCTCTTAGAAGACATTGTCACATCTCCCATCGAATCCTGTCTTGAGGCTCCATTTAATGATGATAGGAACAACGACTGGCTGTTGATGTATCGGCTCAAGTCGCCCCAATTAACCTATTGAAAACCCTAATCCTTCATAATAGCTTGATGGCCTCCAGCTACAACAAAAATTAAGTTTCTGAATTATCATTAAATCTAATTCAAGTGACAATGCTTTTATGCATAAACCCATGCTTCAGACCACATGATACGCAGAAATTCCCCAAGGCTTCACAGCAACACATCATGACTTAAATTAAGAACGAAAGCAGCAACCGTTCGTTATCAGTGCGAAAACTACACTTCAGCTAAAATAAGAGCTCTAAGTGAAATCAAATGCTACAACATCACTCGTAAAACTAACTCTGACGAAATTTCATTTGATCACCATTTTGCTTACATCTAAGAGCTATGTTTCATATTTTTATCATAAAATATCTCACTCCGATCGATATTTATTGGAAAGAAACATTTTTAATCGACATAAAAACGTTTGGTAATCTCATCGTTTCCAACGGAAGAAAATTCTTGTTTTCTTGTAATCAACGTTTAAATTGCCTCTTTTCTAGTATCGTTTAAATTTACAACTAATCAAGTTATAACCACATGAAATATCTGGATAAAAAATATGATTTTTGAAAATTCATTCAACAATTGTTAAAGATCTGTCCTGCATGTGAAGAAAGTCGTCCTTCTGAAACAAGCTGAATTAGTCCTAAATGGCTGAGTTCGAGCCAGATCAGTACCAGGGCCTTTTTTCAAGTGATCATGATTCAATTTTGATGCCAGAATGTTTTAGACCATCAAAAATAGACATCATGCTTAACTAATCGTTTTGTTTTCAACTGTCAAACCTATACACTATTCATTTGTGTTATTTAAAAAAATTGGTTCAAATTAAATCATTCTTTAAAGCCGCTTTGTAACATTACTTCATTTCCGCTGAATTTGTTTTATTAATACTATTCAACTCCCTCCTTGTTTTTGTTTAAGAACTTTTGAAACAGTTTAATAAAAACATTCCGATTATTTCATATCATTATTTTTCTCACAAACATTTATCTAAGTGACTTTTGCAGCAGCTTTTGAGACATTATTCATATTTCACAAGTAGAAATGTTTCTCGTACTTCTAGAGCTCTATTACAACAGAAGTAATACTAACAAGATCAAGAACACAACCTCCTGGAAGCAAAATAGAATCGACAACCGTTTCTCCCTCTCAGTCTACTATAATAACATCTCCACCACCTCCAACAACATCTGTTGCACCACCACCGACGCCATCAACGTCTGTTGTGCCTCCACCACCAACTACAACACAACCACCAAGTACAGCACCTCCACCACCAACATCAGTGTCACCACCACCACCAACAACATCGTCTGTTGCACCACCACCACCCAACTCCTTCAACTCAGTAAACATCTCCACCACCACCAACAACATCTGTTGCCACCAACCACCGACTCCATCGACGTCTGTTGTGCAAAAACCTCCACCCACCACTACAACACAACCACCAAGGTGAGCAGCACCTCCAAACTCAAACAACCATCAGTGTCGACCACCAAGCCACCAACATCATCGGGTTCTGTTGCACCCACCACCACCAACTCCTTCAACATCGCGTAGTATATCAGTAAATTTCCTTAAGCCATTTCTCTATCCACCAACATTCCAATGCTTGC